ATATATTTCTGTCATCATTCCTACGAAGTTTCATGTCGAAATTCCTGGTTGTTTGCTTACAATATCAAGTGGGGCTGCATATCAAAGCTCAGCCATTAATTATTATTTGAATTTTAGAAACACATAAATTACATAATGTTTTTCATTAGACTATATCATTATTATTAAAATCATGCAGTTGCAAAAAAAAAGCAATCTACAACTACAACTTTTTATGTTGAAAATTTTCTGCTAAGATAGGAATAACGCGGATTTTTATCAGATCCAGGGTTGCCACTCCTGAGTAACGTCTAAAAGTTATAGAAAATTAAGCTAAATTTTATAATTGCGGTCGGCTCTCGGCAGTGAATGTCAACCCCTCCGAGTATTTCTTACATGAAATAAAGATTACTCATAAAAAAAACCATCAGCCGTTCGGAGGCGGCTTAGTATAAACTATAGGTCCCTCCATTGGTTGGAAAAACATCAAGATTAGATTATTTAGTTAGATCAGTTATGCCGATTTTTTCTATAAAATATGCTTACGACGTGTCAAGCTTTCAGTTGTTTATTATTTTTTAGTAAGCGATAAAACTTCTATTTCATTTTATAGATTTAATTATTTAAAATAACGTATTGCAGTTTTCACTTGCACCAAAGCTAAAACCAATGCATTAATTTTTATAAAACAAAAACATAATAAATTTATGTTTATTCACTAACTCCACACATTTGCGCTTGTATTCCACCAACCAAGTTCCCGGCTGCGTCGGCCACGCTTCAATGGAGCACTTGAAGATGGCGTGAGTACAATTGAATCAATTATTTATTTATGTATTACGCGCTACGATCCCGGTAAATAAGCAAATGGCAATTATGTACATACATATGCATGTATGTAAGTTTATATGTATCAATTGGCATTCTTATGGAACAAAAATTTTGATTTTACCCAACACCGCTGTGTTCATGGCTTGTGAAATTACTTAACCACAATTTTTTTCTTGCAGATTAAATGCACCGACAAACAACAAAATTGTGTATCACTTTTGGCAAACTACTAGCGGCTGCTTCGAAAATTTCGAATGGAACTACTGCATATAAATTTGTGTGCTTCGCATATATTTTAGTTATTTACTATCGGCTTTTTTGCGCATTTGTATGTATGGAAATGTGTAAGTCTGTGCTTACATGGATTTAAGAATATGGCAATTTTACTTTTTTTACTTGTTATACAATTATTGCCTTTTATTATACCAAGCATTTTGCTGCAAAAGCGCAAATGACTTTTGTCATATTAGCGCGTCATCACCACGCCACGCATCAAACACCAAAAAATGTGTGCAAACACATCCTTATGCACAAATACGCACACACACGCGAATATTTAGAAGGCACAACGGAAATGGCAGAGAACCACTGACGGCATATTGAAGTGTTTTTGGCAACGGAACCGGCAAATTTCATATGCGCACCCACAGTAATGTTATACAATTGTATATAAATAAATATGTATGTACATGCAAATGTTCATACATGCATACATATGCATGTACTTGTATGATTTTTAAATAAATGAATATAGCCGAAAAGGTAACCGTTAACTAATCGCAGTTGTTGAGCTTTATTTACGCCGTCATACATCAATAACTGTCATACACATAAATGGTACACCAAGCTCGTGGTGTCCTCCCATCACCTCCGTTGCCTCATCCCTTACATTTAATCTCCACTTTAAGAAATAATGGTACACATATACGAGTACATATGTACATAAATACATACATGTATGTATGCATATATCTATTTAGTTACTCATGGCAAACACTTAACTAAACATGAATTAGTATGTATGTATTATGTACATATGTACATATACATATATATAAGTATATTTAAAATTTTTGCACAAAATTAATCACACACCAAAACAAACGAAGAGTAAAAAAAAGTTTAGTAACCAGCAAAATAAGCAATTTTTATTTTCGTAGAGTTTTAAATTTTTGCCGCGCACACATGTCTCTCGTACCCGCACACGGAGAATACTGAAAGAGAACTACTCGTAGGCAAGAAAACGAAGCTGTCTCAATGCCGGCAAATCCATCAGCGGAAGCAACTGTAGCGCAAGTGTGATCCAATGCACAATGGTGCGTGATAAAGAAATATACAAGTAAATTTAAATGATATATACCTTATATGTATAAAGGCAATCCATTGAAGCACAGCGTTTTAGGGGAATGTACAATTCTCAAGACAGCCGGAATTGACCGGCCAAGGGCTGTCACTCTGCCTAACAGACAGACTGTTTCAATTCAACTGCAACGGACTCCAGGGAAAGATCGACGAGATAGTCGACCATATGAGCCGCAGCAGACGGAGCAGCTGTCATTTGCTGCCCTCCAGGAAACGAAGTTTACCGCCATCTCGGATCTTCTGAATCGGGCCGGATACAACATTCGGGCGAGACCATGGTGAGGGCTCAGCGTTCATCTTATCTTATTTATAACTATCCGGTCAAGCGATGTCAACCTCGAAATATTTAATATACATTCCTCCTGTTACAAGTTCCTCAGTTGGATATAAAGCTGATTTAGGTGCGCTACTCATAGGAGTCACCGGTTGCTTTTGTGCGAATTTAACGCTCATCACGGTCTTTGCCATTCTAGCCTTTTAAATGACCGTAAGGGATGGGAGCGACAATACCTCCCACCACAATAATACCCCATCAGAATTGTCGGTAATTGCTAAAGTTCGCCAGACATAACAATTCCGAGTGCTGGTCTGATAAATAATATAGCCTGGCTACCTATACTGACACCAGCATTGGACCACTTACCCATACAGTTATGAATCAGATCCATACAAACCTCCCGGCTTTGTTTCCGCGGACCACCGGACGTTTTTTAACTTTAAAAAAGCTAACTGGTCCGGCTTCACGAAATTTACTGAGAAAGCCTTCAGTGTTCTTCCCACTCCATCAGACGACACTTCTGGTGAACATTTATTCTGCAAGATTGCCCGCGTCATCCCTGCAGGCCGAATTGCGGAAATCCGCACAAATTTCACGACGTAAGCAGCCGTTTTAGCAACAAGGCGCGACATCATTCGTAACGCCGATTCGACGAGACGCGATGAAGAAGTGGAAATTTCATTTTGTGACCGCGCCTTGTCGGACCCGAAGAGATGCGCGAGCTTTTTTAGTCGACCTTTTACACTTTTTTACATTGCATCCTTCGGTAGAAGAAACGAAGTAAGAAGTAACTCGCCGCCTGCGCCAAAGAGGTTAGAGGATCATCGGGGAGGCAAAAGCCTGCGAATCCATCGGTCCCGATGGAGTAAGCATGCTAACCACTCTAAAGATACCTGACGTGTGGAAAATGGACAAGGAGGACCCGCTACTCAAACAGAGTAAACCAGCCCACAAAGGAGACTCTTATCAGCCGATATTCCTTCTCTCCCCAGTAGTGAAGACTCTTGAGACCTCACTTCTCCCTACATTTACTCGCCATCTGAGTCCCAGCAGAACATCTAGCTTGTATTCCAGTACCACAACAGCGCCTGTTTCAACACTTTCAAACACGCTCCCCCCGTGAATGGCATACTCGGAGTAAAAGCACCACCTATTGCAGGCAATGAGCTCGTGTTGCCTCAAGAGACCCGTGTGACTGTGGCACAATTTAAGTCTGGATACTGTAGCAGTTTAAACTCATAATTTTTCAGATTCGGCCCTAACATACCCATATACCCGAACCCGTCGAAACAGTACCTCTCGTTAGATGCCCTCGGTGACTTAGATTAATCAACCTGTCCCTAAGTGGGGTTAACGTAGCCGCTACAACAACAACAACAACAACAACCCCCTGCGGGTTAGGGGCTCGAGAATTTACCCGCGGTAAGGTATGCCTGTCGTAAGAGGCGACTAAAATCCAATAGTTCCCGCGACAGTCGGGTCTTTATACCGGAACGACCCGGACTTTTATCCGGCCAAGGACTGTCACTCCCGCAACATTCCCAAAAAGGACTTTGGGGAATAATTTTGCGGTTACAACAACAACAACAGAGGAATATCTACATAATTGCTTTGCCTGCCAACACTGTGGTCTTTTGTATTTTTCAACACGTTCGTGTTATCTACTGAAGACAGAATTGGTAAACGATCCATATAGTGCAAGGTTCATTGGGCGCTTCAATCGATATATTCTCAGTATCGTTATGAATGAAATTCCCAGTAAACTAAGTATGTTCAGATATACCATATGTACGCATATGTTGTTGTAGTGGCTAGTCTAACTCGAACTCGTGATCAGCAATGGGTAATTGAACTAGGAAAAGATCGTTCACTTATAATAAAGTACTGCCTTCCCTGCAGCTCCTTCATATGTGTCCCAATAGCACCCTACGTCGATCAGAGCAAGATAGCTTACGACCGGACGGTGAATTGTCTTGTATGTTAGCAACAGTTCCTCACCCCACATATGTTGCCGATTAAGCCTTTGAGGATTTTGGCACGGTTTTGTAATTTTGTGGTAATTGCAGGCGTACGCAGACTTTCGCATCCAGTTCAACCCGGCATTCCTTCGTTATGCTGGTGCAGAAGTGAGAAATGTTATAGTTTATTTTCGAACGGTATATGCAGATATCTTACGGTGGTTAATATGTATAGGATGTGGCTATGTCGTTAGATGGATTAGCAGTTCATGCTATGTGGGAAGTCCTAGCCTTACCAACATATAGAGTTATAGTTTATTTAATTCGACACGACCAAGCAGAAGTTTCTTTTTTCAACTCACACATAAAATCAACAAAGATCATGATTTTGGTAAATCCTATTTGAGACATCGTTAGCGCCTTTCCCGTATTACCCATCTAAGATAGAAATCGCATCACAACTTTAAAGTCTAGTATTTTACATGTTTTATTTCACTTTTGAATAAAAAATGTGTGACATCCCTAAGCATAATAACACCCCAGTATGTTTCTAAGCAACCAAAGCAGATGCAGTGCTGGATTCGTATTTCCAGTTAGGTGGCAGAACACTCTTGGTTTTGTAGTAGCGGGCCAAACGATGGATTCTAGACTCAACAAGAATCAATCGGAATTTGCCATCCTTATCCTTGCGATTACGCTCCAAATGCTTGCGGATAGCAACGGCTTTCTTAATCATGTGGTATAAATCTTCGGGGATGTCAGGTTTCAAACCAACTGATTTCATGATGCGCAGAATTTTGTTACCATTAACAAAGCGTACCTGAGCAACACCATGGGAATCACGGAGAATGATACCTAGAATATTGAATATCAAATAAATATAACAGACAAATTAAATTTAAAATGCTTTGATACTAACCAATCTTGGAAGGGGTCATGCCCTTTTTGCCCAATTTCTTTATGTGTTCTTTTACATCTTCGGCATTCAATTTCAGCCATGAAGGCACAGTGCGCCTGTACGGGAGCGCTGATTGGGAAATACCCTTGCTGTTTAATGCCAGTTTCAAATAGATTAGGAGCGGCGCATGAAAAGGAAAATAAATTTATATTTAAATAATTATAAAAAAGAAAAAAATTTGCGAACGCCACATGGACACAAAAGAAACAAACGGTCTTTAAGCAACATAAGGTTGTTTTAATTATTTCGCACACACGAGGCAATTGCATGTTAATAAAACAAACAATTTACCCTAAAATCACTTCAAAATTAATTTAAATTGAATTTTTACCCAGGAGCGTGCATACGACCCATCTTTACAGATTTTTATTCTACACCAAAAAGAACGGAACGGAAGTGGAGACTTAAGACATTAATGGCAAATGCCTATATCATTGCCGCCAACATATGCCACTACACAAATGTCATAATTTCAAAACGAACAGGTGAACGACACAGAGAGAGACGAAAACAAAATAATATTTAGTTTTTAACAATAAGAAGCGTTTCAATTTGGAATAATCTGCCTTAAACCGAAGGCATACTCTTACTCATAGGACTCTTGCGCCGCCTTTACAATTTACAATTTACAAATTACAATTTTAATTTAATGTGTAAGAATACGAAACTTTCCACGAAAGCAGTACTAACAGTTGGCAGTCTCTCATCGTTTTGCTCGTAGACCATTTGTTGATTTAATATCAACATATTTAATTAATATATCCGAGAATTTTAAAAATTTAAAATGAAAAATTTTTGGCTTCCTTCTGGAAAAATAATTTTATAAAAAAATTTTCATAGTGTCATATCATAAGGTGAATTTATTGAAGGTGAAGTTGTCACAAAAACATCAGCTGAATTGAAGGTTTGACATTTCGAAATATGTCCGTATTTTGTCCTTATATTCTTGAAGTTACCTTGGGTGACTTTGCCTCAAAGACTTTCGCTTGCTAGCACAGTTGAAAAAGTCACAGAACGTTTAGAAATTTTTTCAGCGATCCAATTTAGTTGATGGTATGGATTGGGGGATGGGGGAAATTTTAATTTATTTATGCTATTTATTTATGAACTTGTTTAAAAATGTTTGTTCTCACACATAATTAAGAGGTTTATTATGTTTAAAAATTTAAAAAGATGTGTGCGCAAAATATCATACAGAATTTATGGATTTTCTATTAAAGCAATTTACTGATATATATGAAAACGTACACCAGTTTTGTGCAGCAATTACCTTATCTTATTTCAAAACCAACAATTTTACTATTTTACATTTTATTAACAAAAATATCAATTCGATACTATTTGGAATTCATTAAGCAACACCGAGTCACTAAAAAGTATCAAATTTAAGATCTGACATTTAGCAGGTCATGACAAACTACTTTTGGTCTGTTTGGAAATTTTGTACATAGTCCTCGGTATGAAGGTTAATAAAATATAGTTGAAGAACTGGAACCCCATAACCGATGCGATGCGATATCCCTTCGTTCGTTTAATGGTCTGAACATCGCTTGGCACAATGGGCACTTTAACAGAAAAGTCATCTTCCTTTTCTGCTTATTTTCATTTTAACTTCAATGTTTCATATAAAAATATACCAAGCTGCCTGAAAAAAAATTATTTCCATTAGATTTCAGTACAAAGCCTTAAAGTTTTTTTAATTTTAGAAAATTGCAAATTTATATTTTAAAATATAAAATTGGTAGCACTAAAATAAGACAAAAGTTTAAAAATTCTTTCATGTCAGCTGATTAATATTTTTGAAAGTTCGAGCAAAACTACCTTATTTTGTATTATCTACACGGTATTTTCTATTTTTCATAAAATTGTATATTTTGTTTAGAAAGTTGAAAAATTCCTCTTGCCGTCAGTCGTAGCATATTTCATGACAAAATGACAATTTCGAAATTTAAACTACTAACTTCAAACTTCAAACTAAACGAAATTGCCACGGTTAAACAGACTGATTAATGCAACTCTCGGGCAGTATTACCAACTGGCGGAGCAATTCTCTCCCATTTTTTCCTCCACTTTAACCCATACATACAATTTATCGGCATATTTTCCTATACGTATACGTTAAATTAACCAACTCTACAAAAACAAATGCACACGCTTACACATTGCTGCAGAAAAATAAAAATGGCTGAGTTTGTGTAAAAGATCTTAAACTTGTCAGAGAAAATTTCATAATGTTTGGGGAAAAACTTGTGTAAATTAAATAATCATTGTTAAAGTCATTGAGAAACAACAAAAATAATTTGTGCTATAAAACTGTGTTAAAAAAGTAACGTAAAACAATAGAAAAAACTTAAAAAAAGTGCATATTTTCACGTCTAGAACAAAATACATATACTAATTGCAAAAAATAGTATACTTATAGAGACCACAACCATAAACGACCGTGAAAAGAATTATTACTCAATTGAGACTCCATTTGTTACCGAAAATATTATTTTTATATGTACGCTAATTTCCATTAATCCTTGAGATTTCAAGATAAATATATTTGTGAACTTCTGCTAGGACTGAAAATAGTATCCACCTTTCTTAGTGTAAAATCTACACAAGAAAAAATACTATACAGACAAAATATAAAAGACATTCTTATGTAGTTGCCAATTTAATATTCATGTACATACCAATTGTATTGTATATTGCAATAATTTAGAATGGCCGATGATTCTGGTGATAGTGATATTGAACCACGTCCTTCGTGTAGCAAAAAACGGCGCAATACTAGAGGAAACAATAATCATGGTGGTGATAATTGTACCGAAAACAGGAAGGGCAGGCAACGTCGCATAGTCATGCGCATCGAATTCGATGATAGTGGCGAAGATAGTTCTTCTGTTTCAGAAGTATCTGTAGATGATGGAAATCATGGTAACAATGTGAATGAGCTGCCATCAACATCGAAAAGAACGCGATCAGCTCGCAAAAGTAATAAAGCTAGAAATAAAGAGTCGGTATCCGATGAGTCGGATAATATTCAATGGAGCAAGTCGCAGCGCCTTCGGAACAGACGCACAAATCTATTTTGTATGAATGGTAGCGATTCGGACGAGTCTTCAAGTGGGAGTGAGGTAATGGATATTTTTTATTTATAAGAGATATAACATATACAAATGTAATAGGTGTATGTATGGTAAATATATTACTCACTTGAGAACGTTGAGTGTGTGGACAAAATATCTTAAATTAAGAATGTAAATACAAGTTCAAACAAGTAATTATATTAATACTTTGATTTTTTACGTTAATCAGTAACTTTTTTACCTTTATATGACGAGCCTTCTATGTCATAACAGTAGTACCCGAAGAATATTTTTAAACAATAGTGTATGGCTAAATAGTTTTGAGTTTCAGAATTATTCGTAGAGGTTGATCCCTTAATTACTATAATTTCGAAATGGGTATTATTTTGAAGTTTCTATTTTATTTTCCATTTTTTATATTTTATTTAGTTCTATGATTGGGAAATTCACAGATGATAACAAAATTGCTCTTACTTACATTATTTAACAAAGTATTGTACATACTCTGTCTCTGTCTAATAATGAAGTTAGCAACATTTAGTGCTCTGATGGCTATTGTAAATTACACCCATCAGCACGAGTTTTCTGAGCTCCTTATTTTAAATTTCAGTTACTCCTACACTAAAAATTACGTCAACTTAAAGGTATACTTATCTGCCTAAATCAAACTTTTTTGTCTGGAATCAGAGTTTGTATAATATATAGGCTCATAATTTATATTTATATGTATTATGTTATGTGGACCGGAGTTATATTTCTCAAGTAAAATGAAAATCAAGATATTCAAATTCTGTTTTTTATTGTGGGTTCTGTTGCCAATCGTAAAATTGCGATGCTGGAAATCGGCTTGCTATCGTAATTGCGAGTTCGTAAGCCATCTTCGGATTCGACGTATGTTCACATAGCAATGCCAAAACCATTATAACGACGGTTCATAATATTTTATTTATAGATCACTACTACCTCGGAGTAATAATTGAATTTCACTTAATCAAAATAATATATTTTTTAAGTTAAAGACAAGCCCGTATGATAAAACGATTCGGAAAAAGTGCGAAAATCTTAAAACAGATAAAAACTGCGGATTTGGTTCTCAAGAGTTCACCCGTGGGAAGGCATGTCTTAAAAGTCATCCCTGTCGTAAGGAACCCAATAGTTCCCGCGAAAATCGGGTCTTCATACCAGAAGACCATATTTTTATTCGACCAAGGGCTGTTACTCCCAGAACATAACCCGACAGACACGTTTACAGACATATAACGTGATCCACTACATGGTTTCAAAAGTAAAGGGCTAAATTTTGACATCTTTTAAACCAAACATTTAACAACCGTACAACGATTGTTAAAGACCACTACTAAAATGATCGTTTACAGATATTATAAGGCCTGTGTATCATCCATATGCTCGTTTCATCTTAAATATCAAAACGCAGAGAACAGAGATGGCTACGCAAAAGGCCGTACCTATGCGGGTAAACCTGTAGCTCTTGAGTACTTAAAAACCAACATTTCTCATGTTATGCTCGAAAATTGTCTCAAACGGATCGAAGCTTGCACATAGTGATTCACATCTACAACTTATTTCAAATGATTTTTTTTACGTCTATTATCTAAACACCAAAATGAATAACCATGCAATTCAATAAAAATCCCAGTTTACAAAATTTGGAGTGCATTGAAATAGGGAATATATGGGTATACTTTTAGTCTAGGTTGATTGCAAGAAGAAAAGGAAACCCTGTGTCAACATCTTGTTTGACTAAAATTTGCCACAATCAATACAACAACGCGGGTACTCTCATATCATAGACTAATACCCCTGATATATTTTTTAGTCACATTACAACGTTACAGATTTCGTTCTCCTTATTAAATATGTACATATGAATAATATTATTTGTTGGAAAAACATCAAGATGCAAAACCACAAATTGGAAGAGGAGCTCGGCGGAAAATCGCTTCAACGGTTAGAAAGCGCTAATTATATATGTATATATATGCATATTTTAAACTTTTTCAGTTGTTTTAAAAATTTATATATATATTTTATTGTAATATATCTTCTGTTATGGGGAGGTGGATTAAATCTAGGGAAATTCTTACAGATGCTGCTCGCAAGAAAAAACGCTAGCAAAAATTGTAAAACACCATTTATGTATTTATGTGTATATGTATATGCAGTAGATCAAAAGACACATTCGTAGGCAATGAAATAAGAATTTGAAATAATAGTGCCGGACTATTTGGATGCCCGGATTACTGAAGGCATACTAAAACTAAGAACAAAGAAACAACATTTGTCAATTTCTATTTGTTTATTATAACAAATAATACACATGTCATGTAATGGATCCGAAGAACAACGGACATGGAAGCAATTTTTGAGTTTTTGACTTTGTGTGAGCGTTCAAAACGCAGTATGTATTCTGGATATAAACGCAAGTTTATTCTGAGCAGAGATGCAATCAGCTGTATTCTTTTTTTGTTTGATACATTATACAATTTTTAATATGATGGAGATGAAAAGGATCTTTAACCCAGAAATGTGATTTTACCGCCTTTATATACTGGTATTTGTGTTTTACGCCTGATGTCCTCCAATTTGTGGAGTTTTTCTTATCAGAAATACAAACAGGAGGTGTTGCTATTACTTGCCGGGGAAAGTAGAAATTATTTTATATACTGACCTCTCGGCTTCGGCTTTAGCTTAAATTTAAACACAATAACAATATATATCTTATGAAGAAAGAGGTAGCTTCTTATTTATTACGGTTTTATTGCGAGGAAAATCATATTTTATTCTATATAGTATGAATTAATAGAATCTGTGAGATTAGTACGATTGGATAGCATTGCTTACTGCTTCGTCCGACCAAGATACAAAAAGTTGAAGAAATATTATTTAAATAAAATAAGTTGATTTTTGTAGTTGCGGTCGCCTCTCGGCAGGGATTATTCAGCGATGAGGCCCATGTTTGGCTTAATGGGTATGTAAACAAGCAAAATTGCCGCATTTGGGATGAAGAGCAAGCAGAAGAGGCTCCAGAACTGACATATCATCCAGAAGAAACAACGGCTTGGTGTGGTCTGTTGGCCGGTGCATTCTTCAAAAATGATGCCGGTGAGACCATATCCGTCAATGGAGACCGTTATTGCGCCATGATAACCGACCATCTGATGCCTGAAATTAAAGTTCGTTATCTCGGCGTATTCGAGCGTTCGGTTTCAACAAGACTGTGCCACTTTCCACACAACGCATCAATCAATATATTTATTGAGAGAACACTTCAGGGAGCAGATTATTTCACGTTTTGGGCGGATGATTAGCCAACAAAATGGTGTGATATCACAACGTTAGACTTTTTACTGTGAGGATATGTATCAATCTCGCTTCGATTCAGTCCTAGGAGTAAAATGGACTAATCTAAATGCTCGACCGAGTCATCGAAAATTGGACTCAACGGATGAAAGAAAAATTCCTCGAAAAATAAATACCAAAGAATGTTCTATCTATCAACCCTCCCTTATAAGTATCTAAGTCGTTTCAGGACAGAAAAGTACAGAATTTTTCTGGGCATAAGTGAAAGCAAATCGCGCCATAAATATGATTTTTCCGAATTGTTCGGTATCAGGTCCTATTTACTGAAATCAGTCCAAACCTCAAATTCTTGTAAAAGTAATTTTTTTTTTTAATTTTAATATGCTTGTACAAAGGAATGTTTATAAGGGATTCTAATTTTTTAATAAGTCGGTTCTGGGTTCAATTCGCAGAAAAAAATTCGAGTTTATGCTAAATTAATTGTAAAGCTAACCACAAACCAAATTTAAAGAAAATCTATAGAAAAATACGATTTTTTCGAATAGGTCAGGCCCTGATCCACTTCCAGGATTTCTCTTAAGTACTCTTTTGTTTGATCGGAAGCCAATACAAATTGCCAGAAATCACCGAAATTCAACCAGTTCTTGAGTTATAAGCTTAGTAACCAGGATGACTCTTATATTTATAGATATATATTGTGTAGATGGCAATTATAATTTATTTCAACATTTCTATTTTACAGATAAATCGTTTGGTTAAAACAAGGGTAAAGAAACCGTCAAAGAAAATCATCATCTCGGAAGATGAGCAAATGCATTCGCAAGATGAAGCGTTCGAAGGCAACAGCAAACGGGAAGAAACCACAGAGGCTGGTTTCAACTCGGATAGTAGCAGTAATGAGCTGCTGGAGAAATGTCCAATATGTCTATTAACTTTCCGACAACAGGAAATCGGTTCGCCAGCAACATGTGCACATATTTTCTGCGCCAGCTGCATCGAAGCTTGGTCCAAGAATGTGCAGACTTGTCCAATAGATCGTATCGAATTCGATCGCCTAATCGTACGGGATAATTATGAAAATCGTAAAATCGTCCGGGAGGTAAACCTAGATCCGAAAAAGAAAGGCAAAGAGCTCACACTCGATGATGAAACAGAACCGCTCGATGAGGATGTGACTAATTGTGAGATTTGCAATAGTCCCGAGCGCGAGGATGTAATGCTCTTGTGCGACGAATGCAATCAAGGCTATCATATGGATTGTCTAACTCCTCGTCTGACCCAAATACCGGAGGGTTCATGGTATTGCGATAACTGTTTTGATCCGTCGGGTGAAAGTGATGATGTGTCGGAAGAATTGAACTTACTTTACGAGGACATACGCGATATGGGTATACCGCAAACAGCTCTACGCGTAACCGAATTGCAACAGCCACGCATTTTGCGTACACGTCAAAATGAGCGAATACGGGCAGCTGTTTTGCGCACTACACGTAGTAGAGCACGCATTGAAACGACCACCACAACCACAACAAGCACAGGTACAGGTCGTGGGCGCGGCAGACCGCTAGGTAGCACAACCACTACCACCACAACTACAACACGTAGGACCAGATCATCAAGCACACTACGTAAACCGACCAGACGTCGTCGTGGTCGCGCGCGCAGGCGTACATACGTAGTAGAATACGATGTGAATAACTTTGATGAGAAGTTCGCCATTAAAACAACGAAAAAAATCATTAAGAGGCGTCGGCGCAAGCGCAGGAGATCTGCGCGTGGTGTTCTGCATGCCACGACCGGTGAGCGCATGACTGCTAGCAAACGTTTAGCTGAGCAAATGGGTGTTAAGAGAGACCCCACATATACTTCTCACCTCTCAGGCACGTCGGCGGGGCTTTCACTTTTTGGTGGTGCCAATGACTTGGAATATTTTTCGGATAGTGATAATGGGGGCATCGAACATGAAATTCAAGTGGAAACTGGGCATGGCACTGCAGTACAAACTTCTATACGCATATCGAATTTCGGATCGCAACGCGCGCACAAAGGCATACTTCTAGGCCGATTGCGTGGTAATAATCGAAGTAGTGTGTTATCCGACCTCAATGCACCGACTATCGCTCCCGCTGGTGGCGATCTTTTGTCAAGCATAATGGATATACAAGATCGTTGGCACAATGCTGCCAGGCACATGGAAAATGTACACATTAATGCTGATGGCACCTTACAGCTACCGTCTGGTGGTGCCAAAACCACTAATAAAGGCGATAAAAATCTTGGTAGTGCCGATACTGATCCAAATGCACGTCATCCATCTATCACAGGCCAACAAAGTGACAGCAACGAACAACTGAGAACACCAATTAATCCACTAGAGGGCGTCACACAAGCCCCTTTATATTCGCGCGGCGGTGGTAACCAAAATTTCAACAGCGGCGGTGGAGGTGGTAGTGGTGGTAACTATAATAACAACCGATACAATAATAACAGCCAAAGCAATTACCGCGGCACTGGAGGTGGTCAATATAGGCACTCAACTGGTGGAAGTGGTGGAGGTGACATAGGCGGTAACAATAACAGTATGGTTGGCCGGGGGAATTTCAATTTTAGCAATCAGAATTTTAACAGTAATACTATCAATCCTAATCAGCCCTCGAATTTTTCACCCTTTTCGATACGCTTTAATACACGTAATAATAATAACCAGCGTAACAACAACCAACGCAATTCTTTGCCCTTTATGCATCGAGGCGATGAAGACAGGCAACAACAACAACAACAACAACAAAATCAATCACAAAATATGCCGAATGAGGCTAATAATCTCTTTGGTGGACTACCACCACCGATAAGAACCTCACAACCAGTCATGGCCCCCTCTCAACTAATGAGCATGACAGGCCCACCGCCCATGTCTGGACCGCCATCAATGCCAACACCACCACATATGCCAGGTCCACCTCCCATTATGGGACCGCTTCCAATGACGGGACCTCCACCTCCAACAATGGGTATGAGTGGTCTGCCGCTGCCACTAGCCATGCAATCTATGCGACCTATTATGACAGTACCACCACCACCTGCACCACCACCTGGTGTGCCTATGCCTTGGGGTACGCCAATATTTCAACAACTGAATAACGACTATGGAAATGACGATGATGATGATACAATATGTCCGAATTTTTCTGTTTACTCTACCGAATCCCAAGAAATTGCTAAATCTACGGAAATGCAATCGCAAGCTCAACAAGCTAAGCAAGCAGATAAGGTATGATTTCAAAGAGAAAAACAGATAGAAACTATTATATTATTAATTATTATTATTTTAAATATAAAATGCAATTTCTGAAATATGGCAAAATATATGTGGATGTTACTCGCGTTAAGTAACAACTACTTGAATAAGTTCAGAAGCGTCGTAAGTGTGGTAAATTGTGGAGGATCTCCTGAAGAAAATATACAACCATTTGTCTGCTTTTAAAAATGTTAAATAAACATACATATGTGTAGACTAGGAATAGCCTAAAAAAATTAATCATATTCAGGAGTTATATTTTTTTTTTAATATTTTCATCAAAGCCATTATGTTTATATATAAGCATATAAAGTTGTAATATTTTCATCAAAGCCCTCATGTTTAATATTTTTATTGAAATTCCCTTAATGTATGCATGTTAGCGTGTACATTATTTACGAAGCAGACTTTTTCCAGCGCCCCCTTATTTTCAAGTATATAGCCTAGAAGAAATTGGCCAAAATGAAATTTTTGTATTGATATTAAACCTTACCTCTCCGCCATAAATTTTGCATATAAATTACAGAGGATTTCTCCCTTTTTTGTTAGGCTACGCAGCATATTATACCCTTGAACATGTTTTTAAAGAGCGAATTGATCAAAAGGAAAAGTGGTCCTTGGTATGTGGTTTGATTTTCTACAAGAAAATCTCTTTGTCAAAGTTGTAAGTTTACTTGTTCACTAGAAAAATATATTAATGTAAAAAATGAAAAAATTATTTTTCACTTGTGTGGAACATGTATCGTCTTTGAGGCAAGGCTGAAAATTAATGTTGAGATCTGATTTTGGTCTTATATTTTCTTTGAGGCTATGAATTAAAAAATTAGTTACTTAAATTAATAATTAATTTAATTTAGTTAAATAATAGGCGAATAGAAGAGGCACACAAGCACTTAGTGAAAATAGATTATTGCTCGTTAGCTTGAATTGTATTACCTAAAGTCAAATTCACTTCTACCAGGATGAGCATGAAAATTAAAAATACCTTGAAACTGCAACCAGCCAAATAATCTAAGGGATAAAATGTAATTCAATGTCAGTGAGTCCAGATAGTATATAAAGCGATGTATTTCTTAAAAAAGAGGCATATGACAATATTTTATAATTTATTGCCGCCGGCTTTCGTTCTCTCTTCCGAATCTGTTTTGTACTACCGATTCGCGTCTGTTTGCCTTACAACATAAAAACATTACTTATATGGATTGTATGATATACATACTCGTATATACAAAAAATATATGTATATGTATATCGGCGGTCGCGGTGGCCGAGTGGTTAGCATTTGCGTACTGACATTCGGAAGGCTCAGTTTCATATCCCGGTGCCACCAATATCCATAAATTATGGAAAGTTAATTTAAATAAAAAATTAATTTCCCCGGCGGGGAATGTCCACCCCTCCGACAGTATTTCGGACATGAAATAAATGCTCCTCGTAAAAAAACCATCAGCCGTTCGGAGGAGGCTTAGTATAAACTGTATAAATGGCAAGAAGCAAAATCACAAATTGGAGGAGGAGCTCAGCCAAAAAATCGCTTCAGCGGTTCCAAAGCGCCAATTATATATAAATAAATTTTTGCCCCAGCCATCGCGCTTCGTTACAACTTAATTTTAGATTACCAATAAGATAATAAAAGATATTTGTTAGTTAAATTGCTTATCTAAATAACTAATTTATATTTTAATTTCGAGTCAAGCGGAACTATGAATATAGGTCCAAAGTTTTAAATTTGAGTAGGAAAAAAGCAATAGAAATCTTTGATCATAAGAATTTTAAATTAATCGATACTATATGAAAACAATATCTTTGAGTGCCAACTTCTTTCTGATCTGTGTCGTACCTCTGAAAGTTATAGTTTATAACGTGGCTATTCACTGCGAGGAGGTTTTTAATACGGTTCACATGTAGACGATAATTTTTTGTTTGACTTGGTAGGAGCTTATACTCCGGCAAGAACTGCATTATTGAATTTGAATTGCTTTTCAGAATAAATATTTTCAAAATTTAACTTCAAAAGCAGTCATATTTAGCTAGGAAATTTTCTCGAAACTAGTTCACAATATTAAAATCCTTTGACAGCACTTTCAAGGAATAGAAAAATTTCTGGTACAGCACGAGCAGTTGGAAATTAAAATTTAGAATGAAAATTGTAAATAAAGGTACATATTCACATTTCCATTTCCCTATAATTGTATAGTTACGGAAATTGATTTCAGTGTAGTCAAATGGTGAAATTAAAATTTTTTTGCAGCAGAATGCGTTGCACTAAATAAAAATACTTTTCTGTCTGACAGTAACAAATAATCTAAAAATCGCGAATCGGTTTTAACCGCTGCCTTAAAATTCAATGCAAATAACTCTTAATACTTAAAGTAAAAATTACTTTGACTAACCTTTTTTTAAAAACCCAACAGCCGTTTATTGTCGGCTTAAAATAACAGAGCATTTTGAAGGCAAGTCGTTAAGATGTATATTATAAAGTAGAGTTGAAACTCATATTGTATTTCTGAATAAAATGTATAAAACCATATCCTAACGATCGCAGATGGAAGGCAGGTGCTTCTGTAAAACTTGCAAAGACGAAACAATCGCTTTCGATTTGAGAATGATTAACCGATAACTATATTTTTCTATTAGATCTATACATTTGTGATCGTTGGCATATATATACTCGTATGGCCAGAATTCGAAGTCATAGCCTCCGCATGGCAGTACACACTGCTATCCACTCGGCGTGAAAAATTCAATCCTCTATAATGTCGTGAAGATCTTCCAAATATATACAATATTAATGACCCTCGGACTTTGACTTTTTGAATGATCAAACAAAACGCAAATTAATATTCATATTTTGCTTTAGAAATTTTAACTGTTGTGGCTGTATAGTTTTTGATTTTAAAGCCGATATTACGAAATATGAAAATTATTTTGCCTTGTAACACATGTTTTATCCTTCACTGTTGATTTGTGGTAACCCATGACACCCGATTTTTTGCAATCACGACAATTAGTTAAGAGCCAGAATGAGATTCAATTAGTTTATGAATACTCGTAGATACCTAATAACTGGTAGAGGTGATAGCTTAATTTAGGTATTTTTTCTAGGTGAACTCATACATGTAGACAACCAAATGGTATACTAACCATGATATATCACTTTTCTTTCTCCTATTTCATAAAATATCGATTCTCAGGAAGACGATGAAAATGAAGATTTAGTGCAATTAGATGATGATGATGAAATACCAATGCCACCAGAAACTAATCCAAGTCAATCAACTAAAGTCAAAGATTCTGACTTATATGAGCCAGAAAATCCCACTGAGGAAAACGAGGACGAAAACGAAAAACTAGAAGAACAAGAAAAAGAGCAATCCAAAATAAAAGATAATGATAATGAAATATTAAAAAATTATAATGAAGAGGTGGAGAATGCGGAAAATTTAGCTTCCCCTATTCGTAAACAGCGGAATAATCATAGTCCACAAAATGACAATGCACAATACCATACGGAACATGAAATAACGTCCAATGATGGTTCGAATGCGGATGCGCATAAGATTACGAATGAAAATATAGACGAGAGTAATAAGAGTGCTAAAGAGACTAATAACAAAGAACCTATTACAAATGAGCACGATGTTTGCGATGAGAAAAGTGAGCATACACCTTCACCTAGTCCAATATTGTCCGAGACAAAATTGCCTGAAAATGATTTAACAATTGCAAATAAGAAAGGCGTATTGGAATTATATGATGACAGTGATTGGGAAGAGCTTGACATTGATAAACCTAAAGAATATGAGAAAGCTGTGAAAGCATCAAGTAAATCTGACATTGAAGAAAGCCAATGTGAGGACGATGGAGAGTTGGTATATGAAAAAGAAAAGAGTAAAAAGATTAAGGATAAAGGAAAGGAAATAGAGGATAAAAACGAAAGTGAGCCCGACCGTTCTTATACACCTTGCCTGGATGAAAATATTGAGCCAGAGGAAAGCCAGGAGAATGGACAAAACAATGATGCGGGACTAAATAGCTCTAAAGAACAAGATGATGAGGCTGGTGGTAAAACGCCAGATGTTGTTGCGAGTGAACCAACGGCTATAGAAACTGAACTAATCTCAGACGATGAAGATAATCCCCGTGGCACTAAGAAGCGTAGGAACAGTAAGAAACGAGATAAACGTGACAAGAAGGTCGAAACTTTCAAAAAAGTGAGCAAGAAACAAAAAATACGTAACTACCGCACTGACAAGCAACAATCAGATAAACTTAAAGAAAGACGACGGTCCATGAATTCAAGATCCCGTTCCATATCCAAATCTAAGTCAAAATCACGTTCACATTCACGTTCACGTACTCGCAGTCGAAGCCGCATACGTAGTCGTACACGTTCACCTCGAGCTGCCGTAAGTCGCTCGCGGTCTCCACGCTCAGCAAGATCGCGTTCAAGATCACCAAGAGGTCGTGGCCGTAGACGTTCACGCTCTGTCTCGTTTCGTTCTCGCAGCCGCTCAAACAATAAGGAGAACAATTGGGGAAAGGGTAGCCGTTTTAATAATAATCAGTTCAATAAATTCCAAGATCGTAATAAAAATCAAAGTCAATATCGCCCCAAACGTCGTGAAATCCAGCGCTACAATGTCCGTAATGTCGTAGGCATTCAACGAAATTTCAGAGAGGAGAAGGAGGTGAGAGATCGATATGGACGTGATGCTAATCGTCCAATGCGTAAATTTAGTAGGTCGCCCAGTCCGCGTCGTCGCCGACTTAGTGGTAGGTCATTTTCAAGGTCACACTCTCGCGGACGTTCCATGTCACCCAGACGAAATCGACGTGGCAGTTTCAGCATGTCACCAACTCCACAACCATTGATGCGTCGACAATCGGTTTCACCTAGACAACGATACCAATCACCGCGTCGTCACTCTCTCTCACCACGTCGAATTACTCCAATGCGCGCACATTCTCGCAGCCCGATGCGCTTGCGCTCACGTTCCATGACTCCACAACGTATGGCTGGTAGAAAAGTTATTAGGCGTGTACGAGGCCGTTCACCGCTGCCACAATCAGCAATTTCGCGTTCACCATCACCATTACATTCGATTTCTGAATCGCCCCGATACACGCCACGCTTGCACAGAAGCCGTTCAAAGACACCGCTCTTGCATGCAGCTAAAGGTAAAAAGAAGAAACTTAAGGAAAAGGGCAAGAAAAAGAAAAAGAAACAACGTTTGACCAGCTTAAGTCCAGATACCAACATTCGTATCTCACGGCAGCGCGATGCTTTTGAGGTTGACCGACCACCAAAGAAAAAACGTCGGCATTCGCCGAAACAACAGCCGCCAATCGCCGAGCCTACTTGGTCACCATCACCCAGTCCGCCACCAGTGCTTGACTACGAACGCGATAATAATGTGTCATGGACCCCACCGCTGTTGTCGCCACGACTTGTACATGAAATGCACGGCATCTATGAGCCCGAACCACATCGTAGCGATTCCCCATCGGGTAAACGTGACAAACGTAAGCGTTTGAAAAAGAAAAAGAAAGGTGACAAGCGACGAGAACTGCGCAAAGACAAGCGGCGCATACGACGAACGCAAACTCCAGAACCAGTACCATCGAAAGAGGTCTTCGCCTCAGGCAACAACATACTAGTTAGTGTGAGTTTTAACAAAGATGCAGCGCCAAATCAACAGCCGTCGCAGACAACTGTTGTCACACTACCGGCAACTCGTGAAGACTTGCACACAATTCGGCGCAATTCGATTGATTGCTTAGCAGGTACGAATGCTACCAGCAAGAAGAAGAAGAAGCGTAAAAAGCTTGACGCAAAGCCCGTAGCTATAATCGACTTGGAACGATCACCGTTCCAGGTGCACCAAGAGCCGACTGATGTTATAGTTCTTACCGACAGCGAAGAAGGAGTTGGCGGACATGATAGCGACCACGAGCACGAACATGAAAATGAAAGACGACGAGAGAGTCATCGTGAACGCCGACGCAGCGAATCCTTAGCTGAGGAAATGGAGCATCATCGATCACAGATGAGTAATGGCATACGCTCATCCTCACAACTAGACAAAACGCCACCTCTTGAAAGGGAGCGCCTCGAAACTATACTGGAAGAGTCGTACGATTTACCACAAACAGGGCCGAAAACACCGCCTGAACCACCCACGGTCAAATTTAATATAACAACTAAAAAACAAAATAAAATACGTAATAATCCACTACATGACGATAACGAAATGAATTCGGAATCTGAAATGGCCGAAGTACGTGACCTGGATACACATCGTCCAGAGATGGAAGCAATGCATGTACAAAGCAGCCAAAAGATTGGACCCAATACACCACCAGAGTCTGGTCCATGCTCACCCGATGCTTACGACCCATTCGACCCTACCAAATCGCCGTCTCTGTCGCCACGTTCACCATCACCAGCGCCGCTTAACAGCTCACAAGGCTCAATAAACGTGGATGGTGGTGTTGAAGTAGTATCCACTCAAAAGCATATAATTGACGAACAACGCCTACCAAATGAGCGTACCAATTCACAAATTTCTGGTGCGGCCAACAACATGACCACACAAGGTCCTACACTTAATCCCGTCGAACTAGTAATGAAACTAATGAATACTAAACAGAACAGCTCACAGGACTTGAGCAAATCGAACGAGCCACAATACAACACTGCGAACCATATGCACTCCGCGGGGATGATGAATTCTCACGATGATGGATTGGGTATGCGCGATAAATGCGACGATCCCATGGGCCTTACTGTGATATCGAATGTGCTACTGTCTAATGGCAATACACAAGCCTCACAACATATACCAGTCATATCCAGTCCCACACCTATGGTTAAGGGCAGCCAAATATCAAAATTACCATTGCCCAAAGTGGGCAGCAGTGTAGGTAGTAGTAGTGCCGGCATGCCATCATCCAATTCGAATATGCGAAACGGCGGTTTAGATGAGCCGGTGAATTTAACCGAAATGGAAAGTCCCTATTCGCCTGGCTCCGCCGATTACGAAGATCTCTTCGAACCGCCACCAGACAGTTCGGGTGCTGCGGGACCGCGTCGTTCAAAGCGTACAAATAACAATAATAATGCCAAGCTGGATGTCTTTGATAACTTATTCGGCAGCACCTCGCCCGTAGGCCATGCTCGCATGCCGAAGAAATTCAAGGCAATTGTCACAAGTAGCACGAAGAAAGCTAAAGTAAAAGGTGGGTCCCCAACAGCGATACTGTATACAGCACCCTTTCTCCGTGTTTATGCGAGTGTGTGTGTGTTTGACGTGCGCAGCACTCCAATTTACTTTCGATCATTATTATCTATTTAATTATTTTAGCATATGTAGTGTGTATGTGATAAGCATTTGTTCGGGAAGTGTATTCTTTTGTGATAAATTATAGTATGTGCATAGGTACAAACTATAAGCAATATTTACTGTTAATTTCTTAGTGGCTGTGCGTGAAGCATGTAAGCTTCAACAAAAGTTTGGTAAGTGAACTACTAAATTTTATTACTGAAATTCAAAAATGTTTTTAAAATAATTTATAAAAAACGATTTCAAATGATATATATATATACATAGGTTCATAAGAATGTCCCTTACTGGAAAAGTGGTTTTGGTTCTCAGAGCACAAATCATTTTTGTATCTTTCATGAGCATGAATTGATCCTTCGTTCAAGGTCTGCCTCTTACCTTGAACCCAAACTACTAGGACACCAATGCTTAAGATACTCTAATTAAATGCTGGAAAATTCAAAATCGACGAGGTATTCAGATCATCTTTCTTGGCTCATAACTACCATGGAACAACAAATATCCGGTGCTCTACATAGTTGTACAAATGGTTAGAATAACTGCCATTGATTAAGATCTCATGCTATAACCTTAATAAACGACTTAACAATTGAAAATGATATACAATATTAAAGAAAATATTCTCGTGCCAAACATTTAAATTAACTTCTGCTCATGAAAGGTAGCAGCATTCGGTATAGCCGAACGCGTTATTATCTCCGCTTAAACATAAAATGTTTACAGAATGGCATCAAGGTCCGCATAGTATGCCAGATATTAATAATAATGGTAACTCGATTAGTTCGGGACAATTTAAAATAAAGGCTGATTTTTTAAGAGCTGTAGTAAAGTTTTTCAGAAAAAAACAGATATAATTCAGAAAAATGCGTAAAATCTTTATTTGATATTTATGCATAAAATCTTAATTTAATGTTTCAAGATTATTTCATGCAAATGTTGACCGTGACTGGCCTTCAAATGGTCCACCCAAAAAAAGTTTGTTATCATCTCACGGTAGCGCTCACCATTCACAGTTACGTTACGATTCGCATCATCCTTGAAGAAGTGCGGTTTAATGATGCCACCAGCCCATAAACCGCACCAAACTGTGACTTTCTCTGGATGCATTGGTAGCTCTCGCAATGCTTCTGGCTGATCTTCACTTCAAAATCGACAATTCTGCTTATTTACGCACCCATTAAGCCAAAAATGAGCTTCGTCACTGAACACAATTTTTCGGTAATAGAGGGCGCGATGTACTTTCTTAGCAGAGCATGCATTTTTAAAATAAAATTTAATAATTTACAATCGTTGGTCGTTTGTAATCGATTCATGGTTAAATTATAGACCAAACTGTGTTAAATTATAGACCAGTGTTTCCAAAAAGATAATAGCTCGAAAATCACGATAGCATATATTTTTAAGCTAATCTAAGTCGAATTTAACTTCCAAGCTAATTAAGATAAAAATAAAGTAAATAAATATAATATAATAAATTACCAAAGAAGTAAAATAACTAAACGAAATCGAAGCTGATTATTAATAAAAAAGTAGTAAAAAAAACACTAATAGTCAGAGCAGGAAAGCGTACAAAGCGAATACTTTTTACCATCTCCGTGATAATTATCGATAGCCATCTCTAAAAAATGAGTGCTCTCTATCCTCGATCCAATCATTGAGCCATTCTTCGATTTCTTCAAAAGACCCAAACCGGTGACTCCCCAATTCGTCCATTTTCATATGCTTTCTTTGAAGCCTTTCAAGAAACAGTTCCAAAATGAAAAATCGCCTTTCGACATCTCTCGTCTTCAACTCGTGCAGCAGTCATTATTGCTTTCCCAATTCCTCATTTCTCATCTTTTTCGGTTTGTCAATACACTATTTGCCTTCGAAGCTGAAATCTCCACTTTCAAAGCGTCAAAACTAACTTCTCGGTCAGCCTAGATTCAAAATAAACGTACACAATCATTCGATTTGCCCCCGCTGCACTTTCGTTCCAATTTAAATAGAAATCAAAAGTCCGGATATTTTTAAAGAGACAAAAACAATAAGTTTATTGTCAGAAAAAGAGCCTCTGCATAAAAATTATTGTTTATAGATGTGAAACATTTCAAATGAAATAGGTAATCGCTTCCAAGATCGACCAAAACTTGTAGGTGAAGCCATATTTTAAGAACGGACCAAGTCAATTTGTACCCACATACATATATAAGATTGATCATATAATTTGTTCAAATATGAGGTTTTGGGGCAAAAATCCGTCATCATCAGAGCTCGCCATTTAGTATTCAAATAAATATAACCCCTCAAATAGATTTTTCAGATATGAAAATTAATACATATATATCTATATAATGGGCGCTTTGTAAGCGCTTAAGCCATTTTTCGGCCGAGCTCCTCCTCCAATTTATGGTTTTGCGTCTTAATGATTTTCGAACAAATGGGACCTACAGTTTATACTAAGCCGGCTCCGAACGGCTGACGGTTTTTTTTATGTTATTTCATGTCAGAAGTACTCTCGGAGGGGTTGACATTCGCTGCCGAGAGCCGACCGCAATTAGAAAATTTAACTTAATTTAAATTAATTTTCTATAACTTTTTGGATGTTAGTACGACACCAGGATTTGAACCCGAGTCTTTCGAATGGCAGCACGCAAAGCTAACCACTCGGCTACCGCGGCCGCGGAGAATTAATATTTAATCCTAAAATACAAAGAATAAATATGATGATGTTCATGAAAGTTATAAAGTGCTCATCAAAATTTATACCGATAAGGTCAGAAAGGCAGTTGAGCTGATTCAGCCATGTCCGTCTGTTTGTTCGAGAACTGGTCCATCAGATTTCGCAACTGCCCACTATAGCATATATACGACCGATTTTTCAGAATTGAGATTTTGGGTAAAAGCTCTATAAAAAAAGTAGCTTGAAGTAAAATTAGGGTTATACATTGTCGCTGAAAATCATCGTAATTTGGAGGACTGTATCATCGGTCCTAATACAACCGATTTGATATGAGAATAAATATTTAATAATAAAATGAAATACCATAAATTTTACATGGCCGTTGTCTTAGCGTGGTCGAAGAAAGCTATTTTTTCTCGTTTCTTTATCTTATTTTTTCATTAGATTTAAAATATACTAATCTCTACCAAAGCCAAAGAAAAGTGAATTTTCAGTCCTAATTTATTAAAAAAAATGAACAAAATAAGGTTAATAATATTCGCCGCAATATATAGATGTATAGACATAACATAAAATTTTTTTTCGTTTCTTGTTGTTTCGCACAATTTTTACAAACGTGATAAACTTTTCTCCGTGTACATATGAATATACAGGGTTTTCCAATTAGATGTGTTATTCTTGATATTCAAAGAAACTTTTGCTAAAATATCGATGGGATCGTTGCTTTGGAGACACATAGCTCCGTCTCGTTGAAAGTAAACGTGCAGATCAATACCATTGAATTCCGGCCATAAAAAATCATTAATCATCTAAAAATCATAATCACCGCATTATAAACCGCACTAAACAGTTACGCGTTGAGGATAGAGAGGCTTGTGTTTTCCGAGCCCCAGATGTGGCAGTTTTGCTAATTGTCGTAGACATCGAGGTGGAAATAGGTCTCATTATTGCATGCATTTATTGAAGCGTGTATCGTTCCATTTTTATTACTAGCATAGTTTTTACTTGCCAAATGCCAAAAAATTACCGCTTGAAAAGTGACATCTGCCGGAATAGCAGGCTATTCGAAATAACACCTCTTATTGGATTTATTATAAATAGTTGTCTTATTATCACAATATCCGTTTTGACAATAATTCCGACCGGAAGGCACCGCTTGAAAATTTGGTATATTAATTTGTACCGCTAAGCAAAACAAAAAGGCCTTCAATGTTATGGTTTCACCGTTGTGCTTTTATACAATATCCCGAAATTAACCCCGGTAAACACCAAGATTTGAAAAAATAATAATGCGGTCACCTTCTGAAACCTGACTTGGCATTATACTTCGTGCATTTGGTCAGTGATTTCGACCAAACATTACAAAAAGATTTGTTGTCCGGCCGTCTTTTGATAGTATTATATCTTTTAATAGTTTTAATTGTTTTTACCTCGTACTAGTATTTTATTTTTTCACCTTCGTTTTAAGGACTGCAGGGTAATTTGCGGGTGAAAATATATATTTTGCGGATGAAAATTATCAAGACAGCTTTACTTTCTTCTCGCTTTTTTTTTTGATTTATTTGATTTCCTTTTCTTATAATTTTAGCTTCTAGTAAGTAAATGCTTCAGCAAAGGTAAATAGTTAAATTCCATTAAATTATGAGTTCGTCTTTGCGTGTAACTTAGTTAGCTTTTTTGCGTTGATAATTATCAAAATTTTAACATAGTATAATGTTTTAAGTCCTTGACGAGTTGTAATAAAAACTCATTACTCAACATACCCATTTTTTGAGCCCTAGAAAAACGTTTTCCTCAAATTGGACTAATAAACATTTTTTAGTAACTAGTTTCTCAACTTGAGCGAATATTTATCCCCCTTTCCATCATCTTTAGCGGTATCAGGACCATAAACGCTATTCACATTTTCAGCCGTCTGGCTTGCGTTCTCCCCTTTTTCGGACAAAAACTGTAAAATATAGCGTATTTTCTCTTTGCTAGTGTCTATCTTTGACGCACGTTCAAACAAAACTGAACAACCAATCACAAAACTGTTAGAAGAACTTTTTTAGTACGAAATATCATCTTTTAACGCCATCAAATTGAACCAGACCGGACTTATACTGGATCTCTTTTTACGACACTTAATATTATATACCTGTGATGCAAATCAGTAACAATTATCGATAAGATTTGTCGGATAGCTAACTTGCGTTACGCGAGGCAACGTCTTACGGACGACTGACTCATAAATATTCCATCGGAACGTTGATAGCATCCAGTTGCGAAGAATCACAAGGCTGTTAGGACCTATAAGCACTTGTTAGTGTTAAAACGGAATAAATACTTAAGAGTTATATCTACTATCTGTTTCTCTCTAGATGTTGTTCTCTTGCCTTTGAGTTGGCTATCAAGTTGAGAAACGATTTCTTTAACTAAATCTGGTGTTATACTATGTAGATTTGTATTTAAGTGGAAATGATCCTTCCATTTCCCAAAGCAAACTTCTGTCTAATGATGAAGTGTGATAAGATGTATGCCAAATACAAATACGCTAACAACCTCAAAATATTCTAAGGGACTGATTAGCATTTTGTTGAGTAGCTTACGACAGCAGCAGGTTTTGTCAGTAATAATTACTGTTTTCTAAAAGCCAAATTTTTTTATTTTTATTTCTGTATATATGTATTATATTTCGAATAATTCGCTTGATTTTCGTTCTGTGCATACTTTGCACTTAGCGAACAATTGCCTAAAACTTTCAGTGCGAAATTATACTTGGGAATACAAGCAAATAAATGCTCGTACATTAAGCTTTTTGTATGCTATGTTCTGCTGATTTTAGTCCAGCATTAGACTTGCAGGAGTTTTCTACATATGTAGGTATATACAAATTATTGTTTGCACTGAAAATCATAAAATTTTGCAATTTGAAATAAATTTAATGAGCGGCCGTAAAAGCCGAGTGGTCATTCGAAGGCCAGGGTGCGAGGCCTGGTTCGAAAAACAGCCAAAATTATAGAAATTTAACTAATTGTGGTCGCCCCTCGGCAGCTAATTTCAAGATATTCAAGTGTATTTCTGATATGAAACGAAAAGGTCGTCATAAAAAACCATCGGCTGTTCGGAGGCGGCTCAACCGCTTTAGCGGTTATAAAGCGGCAATTAAAAAGGATGATTTTTTAAGAGCTATAGAAAGTTTTTCAAAAAACACATAACATTGAAAAAAATGCATGAATTCTTTATCTACCGATTCAAATAAATAATATAAATATAATTTAATGTTTTAAGATTATTTCATGCAGATGTTGACCGTGACTGCGCCTCAAATGGTACATCCGCTTAGTCCAATTTTAGTATACATTTCGGCCAGTATCTCAAGATAAAATGCTTCAATGTTGTCCTCCAATGCGTCAATTGGAGCGGGCTTGTCTGTATAGACATTAGACTTAACATACCCCTACAAAAATAGTCTAAAGGCGTTAAATCGCGCGATCTAGGCGGCCAATTGACCGGTCCCGAATGTGAAATATACCTTGACCACGAACATTTTCATTTGATTTTGCTGCAAGTGATCCACTTTTTATCACCAGTCAAATGAGTCGATACTGTACTGATTCAGCAGCGATAAGCAGGTGGAAATTCGGCTCATGAGTTTTTTTCTCGCTAACTCATGTGGCACCCACACATACAAATTTATTTTTGGGCAATGTTTAGCTACTGAGCTATCGAAATGGTGGTCGCATGACGGCAATTTGACATTTTCAACCATTGGCCTTATACACCATGGATCATCTTTTGCAGTCAGTTCTGTTCGTTGATCAGGTGGGCAGAAACAAAAATTAAAATAATATTTACACATTAATATGAATAATATTGTATAATACCAAAATAAGAACCCAAATATAACTGTGCTAAAGTAAATTGAATGGTATCAACGCAATCAAATAGTTGAGGTAGTAAAGAGAATGCGGTGGCAGGGGAGGGGAATCATCGTCCGCTTACCACCGAGCCCACGTTGATGAATTGGAAGTTAGGAATGTTTACATAGAATTAGAATATATTATTATTTTTAGTACAATGCAATTTGATTTTAGATTTCTATAAATTACTAGAAGGCAGTGTCGACCAAATGAGACACAAAACATACAAAGGTTGTTGAAACCGCCACTGTGACGATAACGCATTCTTCACCTTCCGGAAACTATGACGATACACAAAATTAAATATTAGAGGCGTTTAGAAAAATTAAGCTGTTGGCTTTTATTTGAACACAATCGAATAAGCTCTGTAATAATGTTGAGATAAGATGACCGGCTTACACGGAAATAGGATTTCAAACTGATTTCGTGTTTAAGTCATCCTTCCTGAAAATCTAAACATCTAATTGTAGCAAAGCTAGTTTCACATAAATTTTTGACCTTCTAGAGTACCATTAGAAAAACATATTGGTATCTTCACCGGCGGACGGATATAAAGCATGTAGAGTTTCATCATTGTTGAAAAATAATACAATAAATTTTAAATACAATTAATATATTTAAAATGCTATACTCGCCCACCGATTGCCCATTTTATTAAAATACTTATATATAATATATATATATATATATATATATATATATATATATATATATATATATATATATATATATATATATATATATGTATATATATATATATCTATATTCGGCGCTTTGTAACCGCTAAAGCGATGTTATAAACAAATGGAGGGACCTACAGTTTATACTAAGCCAGCTCCTAACGGCTGGTGTTTTTTTATTAGGAGCATTAACTTCATCTCAGAAATGCACTCGGAGGGGTTGACATTCCCTGCTGAAATACTTAAAAGCTTAAAAAATAAACGATATAAATGAATGGATTCAAATTTAACCGCCGAAATAAAAAGCTGTTCGGTGTTCGGTGAAAACTCAGTAAATTTCTCCCTTTGAGAGAGTAAGATAATGATCACTAAAGTAATCTATAACATATTGTCGACTGGTCAGTACTTCGCGAGGTAGCTCGAACTATTCGTGTGCTTTGGGTTAAGATTGGATTCCCACCATGCCATTCACTGGAGGAGGACGAACTCTGTGAGTGGCATTGAGAACCTGTCGGTGCTCTGTTCCTGACGTGTCCAGGTATTGGTTCGAGTTCCTGTAGATGTCTGCTAGTAATACACTATCAAACGTTACTTACAAAGTTCTTTGACTGGGAACATAAATATTTTGCTTGTAAGTGGTGTATAAAAAACGCCAGTTGGTTTCCCGTTGCGAACTCAGAGCACATCTGCGTATCACTAATCTCTGGTATCCATATCGGTGCAGTGTAATTAATGACCAGCCGATCAATCGCATTTTAAGTTCCGATCACCGTTTCTTTATATTTCCTCCAGGTGCTGTCAGCTAGCGTTTCCATTATTTTAAGCGGCTCTGTACTTTGGTACCAAAATGGAACTCTATATAACTTGAGGCAATTTATTTTTGGAATTTTGAAGTTGTCCACTTTCACATTCAGTTCCAGCCGATATTCCATCGTCTAGGTGATGAAGAAGGTAGCCGAGGATTTTTGAAATTCGACATTGACTCATGATCCATCTTTTCAACTCCGGCGGTTATGGTAGTTAGTAGTACTGTGTCAAAAGTTTTTGGTTAAAGCCATAGACTTTTTTTTGTGTTTAGAGCGTTGACTGCAGTTCTGGTGTTACTGGCGGCAGTCATGCTAATGTACTGCTAGGTTCAGGTGGTAACTAAAAAACGGGAGCTACTGTGTTTATAGTGTTTTCACTACTGGGGAAAGACAGATATCGGCCGAAATGGCTCCATTGTTGGAGAGAAATTCAGATGCCGCTGGAACCAGATGATACTAATTCATCTTGCTTGCTTATTTCGTTGGGATCGAAGTATTTAGACGCTTTTGCATTCCCGACAACCCTTGAATAAATCAAGCGCCGCACTGGTGTTAGGCAGTTTGCCCATAGGATGAGTCACTTGTCTCTTCATTTTGTGATCCGAAGGGGACATTGTAAAAGTCGGTTACAATAGCTCTACTTTTGCCATCATCGGCTCGGCGTAAGCTTTTGCAGTGAATTTCCTCGATTTCAGGATGAAGCGAGCAGTGTCGTTCACGAATGTTTTACAGAAGAGAAGTTCGACAGAGAAAACGTCGATGGTGTTCTTGGCAATTCCCTGATGCCGGAACTATCAGCTTCATTAAAACCAGTAGCCCTGTCGATTGAAGTAATTAGGGGCAAATTCCGATGCAAGGGTCAAAATAGGTCGCAAAGTTATGATATCCATAAGACCAAACAATTTATTTCGTTAATGGTGCGGAATGTCGAATCATCTATCTGTTCTGAGCTCCATCCCTCGGCGGACTTGATGTATCAAGAAGTTCTGAATATTGATTATAATAATTATGCATTATAGAATATTGATCATATTTATCGATTGCATCGTTCAAATATATTGACAAGTCAACAAAAGAATACACAATTCCAACAAATGGGATACATACCAACGTTATTCCAGGTACAAAAAACCGAACTTTGCCATATTTTGAAAAAGAAATTGCATTCATTAGATTTTTTTTTATAAATTACTTAAAATATTAGAAAACAAAACTTGATAATAAAATGTATACAAACTCTTTACAGTCAGCAAAACAGATGATCACGTTAAAGTGTACGACGACGTGCCCAACTCAGCTGTTGAATTACAAGTTAAAGACAAGGTAAGTGTTCTCGAACTTAGCATTGACGCCGAAAATCATCGAAATCGGGAAAAATCATCATAGAGCCCCTTCCAGCCAATTTTTCAAATATGAGATTTAGTTTTCAATCCTAAGGGTATAAAAACTTTGGCATGTCCGAAGACAGCCCTTCTTTCTTGTTGAAAAAATAATAATTTTAATCAAGTGTGTACATTGGCCATTATTATCTATGACCTTTTGACATTTTTCGGGTAGCTGTATAAATCCATCAGTGTAGAACTTCTATAAATTGGTTACCGTCTAAAGAGACAAATGATCCAAGGTCCATTCTGTCTTGTGGGCGCATCAAAACTTCCCAACCAAGCTTATGTGGTCTGGCATTGTCATAATGAAATGCAATATCTTCTCAATGTACCAATTCAGGACCCTTCTTTTAGAGCTTACTATAATCTGTTTAATTGTGAACAATAGAACACAGGCAGAATGCGTCAGGTTGTAGCAGCACATAACAGACAATTCCATTTGAAACCCACCATATACTCTGCATCATCTTGTTTACAATCTTTTTGTGTTCATTTCGATGCATCGCATCAAACGTCGCGTGAGTGATTTCTAATGCTTTCACTGTCTCCTGACAGTTGTATGGTTTTTAAAAGTAACTGTTATACTGTACTATGGTGTTTATTCTAATAGGTCGAATATATTTTTTTACTATGCTCATTCTTTTGCGGAAAATTATAAACAAATCTGATGTATCATGTGATTTCGGGAAATATTGCGGGAGTGATAGTTCTTTTTGAGTTGTTCTGGTATAAAAAGCCTACTGTCGCGGATACTATTGTCACCTCTTACGGCAGGCATAACTTACCATGGTTAAATTCTTGAACCCCCTACCCGCAGGGGCTTATTTTTATTTCTCGTCTGTGCTGCTTTCTCAGACAACTCTACAATCGACGCAAGAAAATTTTTAATAACTGCAGGATCGTGAATCAAAATTTTATGAACGCTTAGTAATACCCGGTAGGAATATTGTTGCTTGCAAGATCTTTTGCTGTTTTGAGTGCGAATTTATAAGTTTTCCATGCTGTGCAGACAGCTTGTAATATTATACAACAGCCTCCCATGTGATCCCTATCGAGGCCTTTTATTAGATCGAATATGTCAGCACTAATTTTCTGACAGTTTTTCCATCATTCGACTTCAGTGTTTGTCGACGACAAATACCATTTTTAATCCGCATTCTCTGGGAATATTTTTTTCATTGCTAGCTTTTCTTTCAAGCGATCTAAGTTTGATGATAAATTATAAATACAGTTATGTGCCTGAAATGCTGATCAACCGAATTAAATTCTAAACGCCTCCGAGCGGACGATGGCTTTTTATAAGAAGCTCTTATATCCTGAAAGAAGTACACTCAGATTGCTTGACATTCCCTGCCGAGGAGCGACCTCAATTAGAAAAGATAATTTTCTGCAATTTTTGATATTGGTAGACCCAGATCTTAAACCCTGGCCTTCAGAATGGCAGAACGTAATGCTAACCACTCAGCTATTGCGACCCCCATCTGTATTAACTGCAATAATTTACTTAAATTAAATTTGTATGTAGAACTCAGTGTATTTACTTTTCCATTTCACTATTTTTTTTTTTAAACAACAGTTTTTACGTAAGCTGAATCGACAGGAACGTGTAGTTGAGGAAGTGAAATTGGTATTAAAGCCACGTTTCAACAAGAAGCAGATCACGAAGGATGATTACAAGGAAATTATGAGGCGTGCAGTTCCGAAGGTAAAATATGGTTCGGCAAAAAAATTTCTTGTTTTATTTTTAATGTTCACTAAACACCTCCTTTCATATAACGTGTATGCAGATTTGCCACAGTCGCTCGGGTGAGATAAATCCTCATAAAATCAAAAACCTAATCGATGCTTATGTAAGAAAATTCCGCGCAAAGCATAAGAAGTTGAATCTCCTCAATACCGGACAGGTTAGCAGTGCCGTCAAGTGTGCTGCCTATTTGAAGAAGCTTTAAGGTCGCACCGAACTCGCATCGAACACAATGTATGAACGTGGATTGTGATTGCCCAAAATATGTTTGGTATGTGTACACCTCCATTTGCTTTAAGATTATTGAAAAAAGGTGTGGGTACATCGGTTTATTCAAGAAATAAAGATCGATTTTTAACAATTCTTTATATATAAAAGTCAAATACTTTAATCAAACTATAAACTGTATTAAGATATACAGTTGAAAAAGAACTCGAAACTTTCGAAAGAAATTATTGTGCGTTGACAGGAAAACTCATAACAGTATCAGCCGAAGGGAAAAGTTTTGGCAAAATTGCTTAACATTATCATACTATATTTTTTCAATTGTTCCTCCAATTGCTAAGGCCTTGGATAATAATTCGAGATGTAAAAACTAACTAGGAAATGAGTCGATTCACACAAAATAGCGCATGCAGATATTTAACCGCAATATTTTTTTTGGATAGGATCTTTTCTTAATATTAAATCAAAAAAAGTCCTACCGCTATTTTGCCGAATAAACTAAATTAGAATTTGATATGCATTATATGTATGTAAATGAGAAATTTATTAAAAATGCTTAAACCGTAATTTTTTAATCTCTTTGATTAATAGAAAACATATAATTTACTAAAAATTAACTACTGTTTTATTTGTACAGATCAACGGAAAATTAAGCTACATAAAGCTTGGAAACTCAATTCAATGGACACCCATCATGAAGGCCCACAAAAGACCATCTTAGTTACTTACATATGCCTGATTGAATACATACATACTTATGTTCAGAAGCCTAAAAATAACGGGTGAAATATGTTTGCAATTTAAAAATCGCAAATCAAATTCTTAGAAAATTTGAAATTGGTCATGTAGTTAAAGTAAAAAAAAAATCAACACACCCACAGTAAAAATAATAATTTAAGATTTTAAAAGGATTTGCAATTATATTTACATTAAAATAATTTTGTAAAGATTGTTTTTGAACAATTCAATTACTTACAGCGTCGCTTGGAATGAAGTTTGGTATTTATTTATTGGCTCATTACTTTTTATTATTATTTTATAAATATACTTTGAAATGTTTCACTATTGTATTTGAAAACTTAAAAACAAAAAAAAATATATATATATGAAAAGCAACTAGTAGTTATAGTAAAAACAAGAAGCGTATAAATGTATTCTCTACCATTAAGATCACTTTTGTAGCTACGCTGCTTACATGCATATTGTGCGTAAATATATTTGATTGATTGTCACATTATGATATTCATTATATTATACTTTACTGTAATTAAACGTATGCTATTACCTTTAATGATTGTACTTTTTGAAATTTTAACAAAAATTTATTACAAAAGTTATAGCGAGCTGAGGTGTAACACCATTTCAACTAATTGCAAAAATTTTGAAATTCAGTAACTAAAATGTAAAAGTATCTACATACATTATAATAAAAAATACTATTGAAAACAAAAAGAAGTGTGTATTCAAAAATCAGATTTGTGAAACATTTAGTAAATTTTCAGCGCATTAATAATATAACCAAAATTAGTGAAATGTAATGCAAATGATAGATTTAATGCAAGTAGAAGATTTGTATGTATTATTATTTCACTATTGTGAAAGGAATAGTAGTTCAATCGTTAACTTTACGTTGCCTCAATACCAAGCTTTGAGCTTTCAAGGGTTTCTAAACAATTTTTTTTTGCTTTACCGTTAAAATACGAACGCATTGAAATGTCAGTCACAGTACGGAAAATACTAAGTTTCAAATCCAAGATCGCATAAATTTTTAGTTTCATAAAATAATTGTATTTAATTTATTAATTTATTCGAAATTGTAGAAAAACTCAGCTGGACTATAAACTGTTTGCCTCCAAGCAAAAAATACTACAGTTGTCTACGATCACAAAAGCCGATTCTCGTCCTCTTAAATTTTGTTGGATTTCTTCTTCAATTTATACTAATCTAACCATTTTTTTTTTTTTTTTTTAATTTAATATATAACATTAAAATATCTATTTTATGCAATGACGCGACGCTTTTCCTGTCTCAGGACCGGAAATGATTCGATTTGGTTATTTCTCTATTATTATTTGTTGCGCACTGAGTCCATTGGGTATGACATTCAAGCTAAGTGTGAAGTAGTCGCTAAAAAATGAGCGCAGCAAATAGAAAATTGGTCGAAACATTGACAATTTCCATGCAAAATATGTTAATTAGATTTGGATTTGGAAAAGCACTCAATGCTGCTGCTGGCTGAGAAGCCAGACAAGTCGAAATTTACTTACCGGCAGTGAAGACTGTGGACGAGCCCTAGCACGCTTCTTATGATATACGAAAAAACTATGCAACTTGTTTTATGTAAGAAGACAAGAGCAAACTTAGACTGAATTGTTAATGCCATATGAAAATATATAAAAAAAAGGTCCCACAATTTACATACATAGCTATTTTGAGTTTCTATTGAAAAGTTATTTCTTTTTGAAAGCAATCTTGTGTTTGTGCATAGTAGCTTTCTTCTACTTCTTTTTAAAAATAACGAAATTTTGTAAAACTTTAGCTAGAGCTGATAGTAAATACCGTACAATGTCTCACAGTCAGCACTTTTCTCATAAACCAAAATACACTGCAAAATCGATTGTAGAGCAACAGCGAAGAATTTGAGTGCCTTTTCATTGCATTCCATTCCAGCTGCATTTAGCATTCAGTTTACTTTGCTTTTTCATTGCACTTTGCATTTTGGTTAAAAAATAATTCAATAAAAATTAAAATAGCTTCCACAAGAAAAGCCAAACCCCCAAATGGACGACTACGAGGATCAAAGTAAGGCACATTCACACTCATAATGTGTTTAAATTTACACACTCCACTTCTATACTCCACTGCAGGTATTGTAAGTGACGTGAATCGCGGCGCTGCAGGTGCAACGGGTGTAAGCCCTCATGGCCGTAAAGAAAACACTACCTTTGGTACTGTAAAGGTCGGCGGTTGGCGCTATGAGGAGTCGACACGTTATATCGGTGAATGGGATCAACGTGGCCAAAAGCATGGCGTTGGTCATTTACAATTTCCCGATGGTACACGTTATGACGGACAATTCCACGATGGACTGAGTCATGGCCTCGGATGCTTGTGGTTCTCGGATGGAGCTAAGTAAGCAAGAATTGAAATAGGAATTTTAGCATATTAATATTGATTCTTTTTTGGAATACCTTACAGGTACGAAGGTGAGTTCATGCAAGGCTGGTTTCATGGTTATGGCATATTTTGGCGTGCTGATGGCATGAAGTTCGAAGGTGAATTTCGCGGTGGCAAAATCTGGGGACTCGGTTTATTGACGTTTCGTGATTTCACACACGGGTTTCCGCGCAACGAAGGCTTCTTTCAAGACTGTCGTCTAGTACGCAAACAACGTTGTCCTGATGTAGTGCAGCGCGCACAAAAATGTGCTCTTATGGCACGTTCGCTGTGCGACCATCCGTATTAGCGTTAAGTCTGCATGCATGCACCATGTACAAAGTAAACAACACATATAGTACTTACATATAGACACTAGCCATCAACGATATACGTACGTATCCATAACAGTCGGTTCTATGGTACCGCAATGAAGTGGACCCTTATGCATATACATATGTGAGGCCACAAATTCGTATAAGCCAGCAGTTCTTTTTCGCAAAATATACCTACATATATAACTACTAACATATATACACGTTTTTGAAATGCTACAAACTGTCGCAAGTAATAAAAAAAATTATGTTCATATGATTCACGAATAAACGTTGAAGTAGTTAGCAAACAAAAAACAATAATAGTAAGTTTGATTTTTATATATGTTGATGCTATCTTTTATTGTACTTGTCTGTACTTGAACTTTAAAGTAAACCGAAACTAAAAGAAAACAATCAAACAAGAAAGGAGGAAAACATCTATGCAACGGCAGCATCCATCTGGTCGCATATTAATTGGTGTCGCTTGAGCCTACCAAAAACCAAGCATTTCGCGTACGTACAGCTGCATTGCGAACCAAACGTTTGCGATCGTCTAAGGCAGGCGCCAGCTCCAACACCACGTCCAGTTTATATATTAAGAGGACACGCGTAGGATATTTGGTTATGTCATGTAGAAGACTTAGAGCACCGATGCGTACTTTCTGCAAATATAAATGAAAGGAAATAATTAGAGACATACAAATAGCTAAAAGTTTCGAATGTTTAAGGTTACATGCATTCATACTATGTTTAAAGCCAAGCTTTCAATCATTAAGGGACAGAAACTCTAAAATTTATTTTTGGATATTCTTGAAATACTACATATGTTCAATATATTTTGAAAACGAAAAAAATTAAGCAAAGTGTCCGAACGGAGGCTTCCACACAACCAAGTTAATCCCACTTTTTTATTTTAGTCAAGTGCGATTATGTATAGTAAGTTTTTAGTTTTTCATTTATTAAGAGGCAAATAAATTGTGTTTTGCTATCATTGGATCACTTTTTCTTGTTTTTTTTATTCAGCACCATTTCACACTAACCATGGATTTTTGGTATTTTGATAACTGCAAGCAACTGGGAATAATATGATTCAAATGCCTTAGAAAGTGTTCATCGCCTGCTGTAACGAAACGCTGGCAAATGTCAAGTGAAATACATAGCATTGTTGTGTTATCACAGTCAAGCGATTTAAAGAGTAAAGGACCAATCTAAAAGAAATAAAAATAGTAATTATTATTGTATATACATCTATTAATATAATAATACTTATATAGAATTAAATGTAATTCTCAATTCAAATACCTTATCAATGTTCATTTTTTGTACAGCGTGTGGAGCGGTTTTTAATACGAAAATGAAAGCAACCAAATAATTTTCGGAATGTGCTTCCAATTTATTACCTAGCTTTGTTAAAACTGTATGGAAGAGTTTCTGTTTGTAGAGGAACTTAACCTTTGGTAGAAACAATTCACCATATTCCGTGGATATTATTTCGAAGGCCCTAGTTGCAACGGCACTTAAGCTAGGATGTTCCAATAGGTCGATGAGCTAAAAGGAGAATGTAAAAATTATGCGGAATTCCACGTTGGCTTTAAATGCTTACTGTTTCAATAATGTTGTCAGCTACTTCACTTCCGGATATAACTAATCCCTTAGCCAACCACGCCATGGTCTCTACAGCCATCTTGTTTTCTTCTTTTATTTTATTTTTCAGTAGCGCTAAAAGATTAATTAGATGTTTCCGATTTTCTCCATTATCCTCGGCCCGATTAACCAAAATACAGAGTAATTCCCGTGCTACTGTACCCAATTTTTCCTTGTCTTTACCGACTACATCTCCACTTAATGACTGCATAGTCAAATCGTTCAGTAACCATTCAAAGAAGTCATCCAGACTGATGTCTCTATGCAATCGACTTAGCAGTCCTTTAGCTACGTACAAATGTTCGGCTGACTGTAATTTCAACTGTGATAAGTATTCCGTTGCGATTATGTATTGTTCCGAAACCGGTAAATGTTCTTCAATGCGACTAAAAGCTGCGGCGATCTGTTCCAAGGCTGGCAAGGCCAATGGTGTGTCGCCCAAGGCTAATTCAGCCAGCTTGGAAATAAGGCAATTATTGGTCTGCAGGTCCACGATGAGACGAGTGTCGTCGCTATTTAATAACATATTTATGGCCTCGAGTGCTAATAATCGTACATCTTGAGAAATATTCTTATCAAAAGCGTAATGGCACACTAAATTGAGTATACGGGAAGTGAATGCAGCGTGTATTACCAAACGCAATAAGTGCTGAAGCACTTTGCGTTTAACAAAATTTGCATAGATAGTGAAATTACGTATCAAAACATCAATACAGTTTGATTGTACTTCAATTGGATAGCAAGCACCAAGTAATTCAAGTAATTCTACACACTCGAGCTCTAATGAATTATGTGTTATCAACTGTATAAGTACTTTGTATAAAAGGGCACGATTTTTTTCGCTTAATTGTGGTACACTCTCGCTCAGTACGCTCAAAGCAGCGTATTTTAAATCAACATTTTGTTTTTCGGCATTTGCATCAATGTTGAAACGCAGTACCGTAATAGTATCTGCATGAATTTGCTCGCAAACACTTTTATTAAGCTTCTCCAAACAATTTTTAATTGCAGTTATTTTAAATAGTTGTGACATAATTCCATATACTTTAATACGCTGCTCATCATCATATGTTGCAGTTGGAGAAACTGGTTTTTCGCCATCGCCGTCAATAATTGCCGATTTTGTAGTTAATTTCAATAGAAAAGTGTCAAGTATTCGTTCGCCAGCAAAAAGGGGATCACCTGCAACGCAAACTAATGCAATGGCTGTAGATGGATTGTATAGCCGTTGGTTGACGTCGGTTAGATGCGATAATATTGTGCCAAGTACTTTGGTTTGGTGGCTGTGGCTAATGTCCGGTGTTGCGTGAGCCTTCTCGAAAATTGTTCGCAGAGCGGCAAGTCCAGCAGTAACGATATCAGTATTGTCGCTGCCAGGAAAAATTTCAGTTTTTAGTCCTGTCCAAATAGCATCGAAATGCTCAGAGAATGATTTTGTAGAAAACTTAAGTGCAGCTTTGCGCTGTAATTTAGATTGATGTTAAAGTTGAAATTAGAAATCTAACAGTAAATATACCATGCTTACCAACAGCTCGATTGCGTCCAATTTGGCTACTATTAAATCGCTTTGCAACTTTTCTAATGCCAATGGCACCACGAACTCAAGAAAATCGGGTGCCGCCACTAAGCAGTTAGATAATTTGTGGGCTAGTTCGTCGCGTGAAATATAGCTGGGATCATCACGGCTCGGCGTAAAATCAATGGGAAAATAACAAGCAAAAATTTCAAACATTTCTTCACCCAAATGGAAAAGCGGAAAACGATTCAGCAAATCAGGCATAAAACTAAACACAAAATCTAAATTACGGGGGTCACGTTCGCCATCAATTGAATTTATCACACCAAACATGAAATCGGTACCACTACGCATCAACGCTATAAAATTAGAAAATAATTTATTTGAAAGAATTGTTGACGTTTCAAAGTGATTACCTTTTTCAAAACGCTCGGCGGATACTTTCAAAATTTTGAACCATTTAGCTCTCTCACCTCGCTGATGGGACTGACAACTACTATGTTTAAAAAATGCTTCCATAATTTTTGGCGCACTTGATTCTGGCAATTCATTCATTTCAAGTAAAGCACAAAAGCCGTCGATGACAGCAGGTATCACACTGTGTTGATCTTTACATCGATCCGTGTAAAATGTTATGATAAACTCCAATTGTTTACAATCAAGGTAATCTTTCGGTATTTCTTGCAGGACATAGGAAAGGAACATTGTTCCTTTAACACGTTGCTCCACTGTGGTAGAAGTTAGAGCAAAACCCATTTGCTCTACAACGTGAGATATGTCATAAAAGCCTTTGACGACATCTAAACATATTATAAATGTAAAAATATGCTTTATTCTGCATCACAATAACTTGACTTACTCCTACTAACATTCGCAGCTGCTTGTCGTAATGCTTCATTATTCACAAACGCTTCCTCTATACTATTTTGCGTTAATGGCGTCATTCTGCTCTCTTTTGAAATACCGACACAAGAAAATTGTAAAATTTATAATTATCTTCTCGTCCAAGTAAATAGAAAATATTGCAACAAATATATTGAAGTGTGCACCGATTTGTCATGTAGTTAATTTATAATTTTATCGAACCATGTAATTATTCGTTAGAGATGTGTGAGATGTGTTTTATCTGCAAACTGTTGTGAAAGATATATTCAGCGCTTAAAAATTATCAGAATGTTAAATTTATCAAGTTTATACATCAGCCGTCAAAAATTGTATGGAAATCTTTGTTTTTATTTTCCTCCTAGAACAAATAAATTTGTTGAAAAAATATCGGCACTTTGAGTTGAGTTGGGTTATTGAAATGATTTTTATAAATCGTTTCCGTGTAATTATTGCTTAGAGTGCATAAGTGTCGAATACAGACCATTAAGGTAGAACTAAATGAATGTCTATACTTTCTGAAGATAAATGTGGAAAAAATTTAGCACCAAAAAATTACTATTTGTGTTGTAGGAAAATTATTTTGCTTAACTAAATTACGAAAATATATAAAAGCTGAACAATAAGCTACACCGATATATTGTTTCGTGTTTTTTTTTTTTGTTTCCAAAAGATGTGTCGTGCATGCAAATGATAAGGAAAATAAAGGAGGAAGATTGAAAAAGAAAAAATCTGAAAGAAGATTTGGTTGACATTTAATAAGAAATAAGGCAATTATAAGAAAAGATAAACTAGAAGAACAAGTAGTCAGGAAATATTACACCCGTTTATTTAACGGCTGAAATATAATAAAATAATAGACTTAAGTCAGAAAAATAAGCCTGAAAACTTAACTTTAGATAGAAATATATATTTAAAAGTAAAAGGTGTATGAAAGCGGCGCGATCTAATGTCAATAACCGTAAGTAGAATAGGAACGCTTCTGCCACTTTCATACAAAGATAATTTATAAAATTGCAAAAACTGTCAAAAGCGAACAGTGGTAGTAAAGTAATTAAAGAAAAAAGTTAAATAAACTAATGATTATTTTTAGGTACATTGTGCCCAATAAAGGTAGAAAAAGAATAGGTGGGGACACAAAACATTACTAATGATTCAACCAAACCTCATTTGAGCTGCATAATTTTTTTGTATCGAGTTTTCTTTTTTTTTGCATCTGTAATAATGCCAATTGAAGTGTCGTCTGTGCAATAGTGGGCAGCTCTCACTTTCCATTTTTTTTTGCTGAGCAACTCTTTGTTCTTCTTATACTTTCCCAAAACTTACTTCGGTTGCTTGTGGGCTACTTTTTGACTACTCCACTTCTGTTATTTGTGCGAAACTTTTATTTGTTTTATTTTACATTTGTATGTGTGTACATTCATGCTCCGGTAGCTATTACGAGGTGGAAAACAAAAGACGAAATCTTATGTAGGAATGACCGTGATGGCCAAAACTTCAATAGCTGAAATATGTGAGAATGCGAAGTTAGCGCGCGACATGGCGTACACCGGCAACTATGATTCTGCCTGCATATACTATGAAGGATTGGGTGGTTTACTAGACCGAATGGTTAAATCCACAAATGACGCACTTCGCAAAAGCAAGTGGAAATTGGTGAGTATAACTAATTATGCGCTCCTCAATTCTTTGACGAATTTCTTTGTGAACAGATCGCACAGCAGATTGAAAAGGAATACTCCCAGATTAAAGCCATACAGCGAACTTTATCAGAAATGACACTCGATTTGCAGAATACACCGTTTGCACATAAATTAAAGACACAAGTTAGCGAAGACGAAACAAAAGATCCTTCTGCGTGGTTCCGACCGGATCCGGATATTTGGACGCCTCCTCCTAAGGATCCAGATGTTTGGGGACCACCACGATCAGAAAAGTAAGCTTGTATTATGTACATAATTTAACTTGGTAATTAACATTATTTGCAATTTTGAAGACCCGCAGTTCCTAATCGGGGACGTAGCGGAATACCAAATAAAAAACTTACCAGCGCTGTAGGCAAAAGCATAATACCACAACGTAATAATAATGGAGGTGCAGTTACAAGCAGACGTACTATAGCTGGGAGTAGTGGCAGCACTGCACGATCGCAGGTAAATGGGCGATCTACTTCGTCAACGTCCAACAAAAAAACGGCATATTCAAGCAATGGTGTTGGTAGCAATTTGAATACTGGCACCGATAATGGTGGCACCAAAGACGAGGAAAGTCGAGATGACGAGACAGCGGATATGGAAGAAAGAGAGGAAAAAAAGTTTCAACCAAGTAGTCACATGGAAGCAGAGCTGGTGGATATACTTGGTATTTTTCTTTTTCTTTTTTTTTTTTAAAAAACTTTTTCGATACATAGTACAAGTATGTATGTTTATTTTTTAAGAGCGTGATATACTACAGCGAAATCCGAAAGTTCGTTGGAACGACATAGCCGATCTGCACGATGCCAAACGCTTACTAGAAGAAGCAGTTGTGTTACCTATGTTAATGCCCGATTACTTCAAGGTAAAAAAAAACATTTTGTAATAAGGGTAGATATGAATTTTTCGTAAAAAAAATCAGATACTCAGTTGATTTCAGATGAAGGTTATTAATCAACCAAATATCAAAAAATAATATGCACATCTGTATATTCATACGTACATACTTAACCTTGTCCACGGTTAATATTTAACAAAGTTTTCCAATGACTCATACTTGCTCTGCCTTATAAATTAATTTTATTTTTATGTGTGTGATTGCATATCCAATAACTAAAGTAATTTTTAAGGGTATTCGGCGCCCATGGAAGGGTGTACTGATGGTTGGTCCACCCGGAACCGGTAAAACTATGTTGGCTAAAGCTGTAGCAACAGAATGTGGCACAACATTTTTCAATGTATCATCTTCAACGCTTACCTCTAAATATCGGGGAGAATCGGAGAAAATGGTGAGGTTATTATTTGAAATGGCGCGATTCTATGCGCCAAGCACAATTTTTATCGATGAAATCGATTCGCTCTGTTCACGTCGTGGTTCTGAGTCGGAACATGAAGCCTCACGCCGTGTAAAATCAGAGCTTTTGGTGCAAATGGATGGTGTTGGCAGCGAAGAGGCTACAAAGGTTGTCATGGTATTAGCTGCTACTAATTTTCCATGGGATATAGATGAAGCGCTGCGACGTCGTTTAGAAAAACGCATTTATATACCGTTACCAACGGATGAGGGTCGTGAAGCATTATTGAAGATTAATTTACGTGAGGTGAAAGTGGACGAAAGCGTGAATCTGTCTGAAATTGCCAAGAAACTAGATGGTTATTCTGGTGCTGATATCACCAATGTTTGCCGGTAAGCGGCGCTGATTATATATATATCTTTTATTAATTAATTTTATTTTTTAGAGATGCTAGTATGATGTCAATGCGTCGAAAGATTGCTGGACTTACGCCAGAGCAAATACGGCAGTTGGCTACGGAGGAAGTTGATCTTCCAGTTTCGAACCAAGATTTCGCTGAAGCTATAAGTCGCTGCAATAAGAGTGTATCTAAATCTGATTTGGAGAAATACGAAAAATGGATGAACGAATTTGGGTCGTCATGATGACGGAAGTATTATCGCATTTGCTTTTAATTTACAAATAAATATATAATTTCGAAGTTGGAAAAGTCTACGTTTAGCCAAAAAATGGCTGTAATTGAATTGATTTTGAATAGCATAGCTAGCAAAGTGTTGAATAACTTTTATAATATTCGAAATTAAGCATCAATAAAGAGATCAATTTTGTAAAATCTAAAATTAATACGACTAATAATCAAATTTATTAACGAATAAAAACTTCAATTGAAATCTTAAATATCTTCAGTACTATTGTATGTATTTCATCTTGTGGTTAGTCATTATAACATTTATAAAAAAAGCTTTTTATTTTGTAAATAAATTTATTAGGTATTCTATTGTTAAGTAACCCCTCTCTGCAATTTGTAACATTTTAACAATACAAGATGTCTATTTAAAAGGTTTAATCTTATCGTGACGTCGAAATTTGTAATTGCGATACTACAAAATTGTCCAAAGGCAGTGCACGAAAGCACATACAAATGTGGCTGTTAATATGGACGTGGAGGTGGCATAGGCATCATTGGACCCAATGGATAGGGTACACTGCCGCCGCCCATTCCAGGTAAACCGGGAGCAGGATAAAATCCACTATTCGGGAGCAAATTTCCATACCCAGGCATTACATTCCCAATACTTCCACGCTGAGCGGCTTGTGTTTGTCTGCGCATTATCTCTTGCATTTTCTCTGCTTTGAGCTTTCGTAGGTGCATTGTTTTACGGGCAACTAGAAAATCATCTAGAAATGCTTCCACACCAATTTCATTGTCTGTCAACTGTTTAATTGAGGCGTCGGTTGCCTCTTCACTTTCGGCAGCGGCTGTTTGTAATAAAGCTAAGGCTGTTTCTTGACTAACGTCTCCGGACTTAGCCTTCACTTCTGCTAATTTTTCTTGAACAGCTTCACAATGAGCCTTAGCTTCCTCAAGTAATTCATTTACTTTCCCACGTAATTCGATGATCTTTGGTTCTTTTTCAATGTTGCTCTCAGCTTTGGTGCGGTTTTCGATGAGTAAATTGTCCTTTTGAGTTTTAAGGGTTTCTAAAACTTCATTTACTTTCTCATCAAGCTTTTCGTCATCGTTGAGCAAATCCTTGAGTTCATCCGATGAGAGGGGGGCTAATGATATTTGTAGTTGGTTTAAATATTCTTGATACATTGCTTTATTATGCAGCAAATTGTGCGTAAATTATTTAATAGTTGAATTCTTTGCACTTTTCTTTTTAAAATAAAAATATTTGCAGAATTGCGACTTAAAGCAGGGTTTTTTGTAACTACATTCTCTGTATTTGACACTTGTCAAAACAAACTCAATAATCAGAAAACACCATGCTGCCGGCCTAATTACAAAGCAAAATGATATAAAATTGTTTCATTTCGTTTAAACTTTGAATTTGCGATAGAATTTGTTTAAATTATTTCAGACATTTTGATAACAAGTTATGTATAACATCAGAGAGAAAAAACAGCATAGTATCTCAAATAAAACAACAGGCAAATAACAAAATAATAACTTTCGGAAAGGTTGGCAAACCAATGTCGGACTGGATTGTGGACTCAAGTAAACAGCTTCCAAATTCGGTTACATGTCCGTAATTAGAGCTGGCAATGCCCTACAAACACTTCCATTCGCGTGCGCCATTTTGATATATTCGTGTATTTCGGCGTAATGCATTTGACTGATTATTTCAATAAAATACAACAAATAAATACGCAAAAAAGTGTTAAAATTGTTAATGAAAGAGGCAGCAACAAATTTAGTAGTAAAATTTGTCCAGAAATTTGTTAGTCTGAGTATAAAGTGTGCTTGAAGTTACGGACTGTATTCCAAAGTGAAAAATTTTCAGACGACTACACTAAAATTTGTTCGTGTCCCGAAAGACAAGCGTTTGTTCGGTCTCGTGTAATCCACTAATATAAAGGGGGAAAAAATCGAAAATCGTCAACTTTCCCCGTGAAAAATTGTGAAAAATTCAAAGACCCATGTAGCAGAGTGATTATAGAAAAATTAGAAATCTCGTACCTTGTATATTTGGAAAATATATATGTGTTTTGGAGTTGGAGTTGGTGTTGAAAAACTGTGAAACTGTTTATATTCAAGTGATTACGACAAATGGACATGAATTGTTTTGCAATCGCATTATACTATTCATATTTCCATAGCCTAAAAGTGCAACGAAACACAGGTGCGACCAGTTACAAGGCTTGTTTAGCATCGGACGTGTCATATATTTTCTAGATTATTTGAATGAATCGTCTGCGCAAACATTAATTGCCGAACAGCCTCCGGGTGGAGTCCTCGTCATTATTTTGTTATCGCTTGGAGCTTAAAAATTGGATGCGAGGCTCACTCTACCCTCGTCCACATATTAATTGCAAAATTAAGAGGAGAACATAAAGTATTTGGTGTCGACATTACGCACTAATAAAAGTAATCGACGAATGAATAGTTGAAGGAATTGAAATAAGTGGAAAAAGGAGCAGACGTGATAAACAGGAATTAAAGACAGAAGATATAATTAACAGTAGCAGAGAAACTCGTTTTGTTTTTCTTTTCGTTACAACGTTCGCAGTACCATCGTGTAGCAAAGTGAAGCAATCGTCGACGGTGGCCATCGTAGCTGCATGGTAATTGTTGCCATCGTCGCATTACACTTCTATATGTCTCTTTCGCACTTATCGATGATTAAAGGTAAAAAAAGCCGCATACGAATGGAACGCATAGAAAGTGAGTAGGGAACAACGAAAAACAAAACAAAGCATACACAACAACAGCAGTCGCATTAGTGGCAGCAGTATATTAATAAAGTCAACTAGAAAGAATAATAGGAAGTGGCAAATCGTCAAGAAGTATTGCAAAGCAGCGCTGTTGTCTGATTCGAAATGTTTATGTAGTATGTGAATTGGTGAGAATTACTGGTGTAAATTCGTGAGTACGAGTATATCGTGCACACGAAGTACGAAAAGGTGGCAAAGTAGAAGGGTAAAGCCGTATACAGATTGTTGGTGATTGTTCGAACAGTTTTTGTTCCAAATATTTTTTGGCACAAGCATCGTAGAAGAACACTATAAAGTGTGAACTCTGTATACGTTCGTATTATTTGCTTCGTTGGAGGAACATTTCATAAAGGTCCCATTTGCTTAAAAACTTACGCATATGTATTTTTATGTGTGCTACTGCAGTGATGATTTAAATGTGTAAGTACATCGACATCCCGATTTTTAAAATGTGACATTTCGCATCTTCTTTTCTTTTATCTTTAAAAGTTATGGCCTGTGACAACCACAGATTTAAAAAAATGCACATACTATGTATATCGCTGTTTTATTCAACAAACGTCAGAACGCAAAGTTTATTGCGGATGTTATTTTAAAATTAATGTTTAAAAAACATTTACGAAACAACAACTTTATATTTTTCATCTTTTTCGATGTTAATATATTCTTAAACAGAGTATTTTTTTCAATGCTTAAACCAATTTCATATTAGGGCACATGTGGGGCCATTAAAATGCAACACTGAGCGCGCCGCAGAATCTACGATATTACGACGTATAAAACGAACCGACTGCTGTAGATATGTTATTATAAGCTATCCAAAGTGAAAAGTCCGGGAACCATACGAATATACGTGCGTACTTTCAACTCGTCTCGTTTGTGTGGAGTGGATACTTTGGAAATTTCTTATTTTACTATGGAATTCGTTTAAATTAATTAATAAAGTTCATACTAATATTTATATGATATATATGTTTATGTTATGTGAGAGTGAAATAAAAAAATATCTGCTCTGTGCTGTGTAATGTGAAATCAAAAATTAAATTTACAAAATCATTAAAATCCTATTTTCGCGTTGCACAAAATCTCACACAAAAGTATCTGCAGAGCAATCACAAGTATGACGAGCATAGCGATATATCTTTGCAAGTACTTCATAAATGAGCCAGTAAGAGACAACTAAAGTGAGTGCACAGTATCACAACAACAGTGGTCTTCGAACACACAGATATTGTGCGAGTGCGGCGCTGTTCGTATACTCGCTGCTGTTCGTTGTCTTCTGCTAGTTTGCTTGGCTGTTGAGGCGCTACGAAAGTGGGAAGAAGTAGTAGGTTAAAAGAAGTTGTCACGGGTTGCTGAGAGTTATGGCGGAGAAGTGCGGTAGTGTGTTCTCGTGGTAGGGTGGTGTGTTATGTTAAATAGTGCCATATTGTGTCGTTTCACCTTCGTTCCCTGCGTATAGCGTACTTCTATCTATTTCTACTACTATTTTATATCGTGTTTTTTTATTATGCGATTTTGTTGTTGGTGCATAAATATTGGTAGTTTGTTTCCAGTCACTGAAATCGTCCAAAAACTCTCATCAATCGCTATACATATATATTATAAATCTCTTTTTCATGAAGATTTTGCGATATAGTAACGATATGCTACCGGCATATCACACATAAATGCATTTAATAAAAAAGAAAATATAATATACCATATATTCACGTTTGCGTTTGGGGTGTTGGCAATTGGACTCAATTTCGATATTAAAATCACTCGAAATGAAGAGGGATATACACAAACTTCGACGAGCAACGAATAGAATGAAAGCAAAAAATTTGATTTAAAATGCCCTCCAGTAAAATTATGAAATTAATTTTGAAAACATTACCAGTTTGTGATTAGCGTGAGTAATGCATAAGACTTTAGTACAGAGTCTGTGGTTTATCTTTGTAAAATAATGAGCAATTGTAATAAGAGGTCTTCAGCTACCAAAAATATAAACTTTATCGCGCTATAGTTTAGAAGTTATCAACATTTAAAGTTGCACTATTTATATACCCGGAGCCTGTTTCTGTTTTACTTATAAAAATACTAGCAAAACTTGGCTAGGGAGCGTTGCCACTTCAAATAATCTACAAATTAACAATAAATATGCAGGAAAATAAAATACGAAAACGAATGTTGGCACTCAAAAAAAATGGACCAACACCGGCTTCACCTTACACAGTAGTCTTGACTGAAATTTTTTTTGTAAGTTGGAGGACTTCGGCTGCGTTTTGGATTGCAACCCCGGGCAGGCTTCGCTTTGCACAGTATTTTTAAGTAAAACTCCATTGTAGGTTGGAGACTTTCGGTAATGTTGCATACTGTTGGACCTCCTTTTTATGGATTTAGGCCGTCAGCTCCTTCCATAAATTCAATACACTCTGGGCATCAGTGGATAGATCACCTCTTTGTGTCCTACAGGAATCTGTTCCGGTCTTGAAACCTGTAAGTCGTCGTATCTTCTCGTACAATTTTCGAGCATTTTTTCTTGTTTGGGCAGCTCCTCAAGCTCTTCAAATTCACGTATCTCCGCCTCATTTTTTTTTTTTTTTTGTCAGCAGATGCGTCTTGCTTCCCTCTTTCCATCTCGCACGTGTTGTGGTCGATCGCAAGGTTGCCAGGTTGACAGTCTGTTTTCTCTCCTTTCCTTGTGTTTGTTGACGGGCGTTCTTCGATACACAGAGGCTCATGCGTGTCTTCACTGCAACAAGATAAAGGTCCCAGTCGATGTTGGGTCCTCGGAGTGTACGCACGTCAAGAACACTGGAGACATGTCTTCCGTTTATCATAACATGATCGATCTGGTTTTTTTTCGATCAGGGCTACTTGGCTGCTTGATGTATATTTTTGTGCTAGTACTACAGACAACCATATCGGGCTCCGGCGAAGTCGATCAGTCTAATCCCATTAGGGGATGTTTCTGTGTGTCGTAGTTCTTGATTAATTGAACTCAATTATACAACAACATATTACCAAATTGATCTTGGTTCCCTGCTGGATTATGCCTAATGAGGGGATGTGGGTGATCCTGGACGCTGTCACTTTCGCCATTTACCACTTTTCGTCCTGGTGTGAAAAATATGCAATTTATACAAACAAGTAGTCTTTGCGCTAACTGACTTACATGTACCAAAAAAAAAGGCATTTATAGATTTTATTTTTTTATGTCGCAATTTATTTTACTTGTAAAATTAACGTTGTAAATTTTTGTTGTAATTTTTATGTAATATATATATTTGCAGATAATTCGGCAGTGCAGTTGCAGCGGCCGTTCACGAAAACCACAGCCCCTTAGAGCAGCAACTGCGAAAATTGTATACCGCTTGGATTGAGTCAAACAAGTAATGAATGAAAAAATAAAATCACCCTCTGGGCAGGGTGGTGCTGCTGGCGGAGGCGGTCTTGGACCGCCAAGTGGTGCGAGCGGACAAATTGGAGTTGGTCAACCAGGGGGAAGTGGTAATGGTGGTCCTGGTGCTGGTGTACCAAGCGGTCCCGCTCCCCCTATTTCGTCCATTAGCGGTGGGCCACCTACTGGTGGACCGCCTGCACCAAATAATGGTAACGATCCACAACAACATACAATGCCACATGCATATGGGCCACCTGGAGGTGATCCTGCCGTAGCAATGTCGCACTATCATATGCATCAACAAGCGCATCCACAACAACATATGCCTCACCAGGGCGGCCCCGGTGGTCCACAGAATCCTGGTGAACATCCACAAAAAGATGAATATGGACAAGGTCCTTTGGCTGGACCACCGCCACCACCCCCGGGCGGTCATCATCCAGTTTATGGGCGTTATCATCATCCAGATCCAAATATTGATCCTTACCGTTATGGGCATTCCCCAATGCAACAGCCACCCCCCGGAGGTAAACCACAGCAGCAACCGGGACCCCCGTCAGGTCCAGGAGGTAGTATTGCCTCTCCCAGTCGTCCACCACAGCAACGATATATTCCAGGGCAGCCACCACAAGGCCCTACACCCACATTAAATTCGCTGCTGCAGTCCTCACATCCACCACCACCCCCACAACATCGCTACGCCAATAGTTATGATCCCCAACAACAACAACAACAACAAGTTGGTCAGCAGCAGCAGCAGCAGGGAGGACCACAAGGTCCACACGGACCACCGCCACCACCACATCAACCATATGGGGCGCAACAGGGATGGGCGCCACCACCACGTCCGTACAGTCCACAATTGGGACCGTCGCAGGCCTATCGAACGCCACCACCGGTAAGTGTGAAGAAAGTCTTACTTGAATGTGTATATGTATGTATAAAATATTTTCATTCCGAATTAGTTTAAAAACGTAAAAGAAATTTAATACACGACACTAAAAAGTTCGGAAAATTTTAATTCTAGAGAAGTTTTTCAGCTTATTAAGAAGTTGTTTTAACAGACCGTGAGTTAAAGTGTTAATTGTAGTGTGAGGGTGTTTGATTATCGCCTTATCAATACATCAACAAAGTCGCAGACGGCGAATGTATAACAACAAACAATCCGATTTTTTTTTTTTTTTTGGTTGGGATATCCCATTTGCTTACTCATGCCAATGGCAGATACGTTCATGTATGTATACACAGATCAATTGAGTTCATAGTTACACATTTTATTAATTTATTCACTCGGTGAGGGGGCGAGTAAAATTTGCGCCTTAAATCATCAGTAAAGGCAGCATGGCGTTAGCAACAAAAGCAACAACAGGTAAACAAAGTAATCACAACAAAAAATTTAAAAAGTATTCAGTATACGAACAGAAATAAAAAGGAAAACAAACAATCCATAGAGTATAAATATGCACTTGCTTGCATACATAGCATATTGTATAAAAATTTATTTAACTTGAGCGCTACAATCATACATACAGACTGGCAAGGACGGATATAATCGTTCAAATGCAATTACCCATAGACATACAAACATCTGCCTAAACGCTGACTACTTTGTTGATATGGTCTGCTCGGTCACCAATCACCAATCACCTTACATGCCCACGTCAACTTAAATACAAACCCACTGATATAACACACAATCTCGTCTACATACCTATCTATATAAGCACTTGTGTTTTTTGTTTTTGCTTTTGTTTTCTGTACATACAAACGTACCTACATATGTATGTATATCTGCAAGAAAGTGTGTCAATAAATGCCTGTCGTTTTCATGAATGAAATGTAAAAAAAACATCAACCGGTGTGGCGGCATCTTTTACCCAGCTCCATAATAAGAATAACAACAAGGACAGCAAGAACAAAACCATCACATCTAAAAGGCACAACAAAATATGTGAAATAAAATCTTTAAGGTTCACGTTAAATTCAACTTGTACTGTGAAGTTTATCAGCAACAACCAGACCAAGCCATTTCAAGCCAGACAACGTTCTTTCCACACATCCGCCATCATCAGTACCAATTTCAGCCACGACTTAAAGGGATACAATGAAGATGGCAAAAGTGTGCCATTTGCTGGAGGTGGAGGTGGACAACAGCTTGTGGTGGCAGTTTGGCTGGCTGACTTCCACCCAAACATTCCGCCATTCATTCATACAAACGTACACGTGTATATGTGTATGTATGTCTGTTGAATGTTCCACTTTTTGTTTTGGTTTCTGCTTTTGTTTGGCCACCACGCGCCCAAGCATACAGACATATATACATTGTATAAACGTACGAGCAGAAGAACTGATTTAGTTGCCATTTGCCGGTTGTTGTTGCTCTTATAATTGATGATGAACCCTGGCTTCTCTAAATGCAAAAATGTATGATTTATCGAAAATCTGTGCGAAAACCTATAAAACTCTTGCTTCATTCATACTGATTCATACTATTGTTTTTTATATGTATATTTATGTATGAATATATGTACATATATTTATGTATATGTTGTATATGTATATATATATATTTATGATATTAACAGCTTTTCGAAATTTTTTTTATCGACGAATAGGCTTTTTGGGATTAATATAAAAATTATTGCTTTTGTTTAAGAATTTCAAAATAGTTAGTTGACTGTTTTGTTGGACACACCTGTATTCTGGCCAGCTGAAATATGAGAATTTTACCAATAAACCAAACGTTGAGCTCTTTTGAATAGTTAATAAGTAAATTTAATTTTTTTATATTTCTAAAATAGATTTACGTTAAGAAAATAAAACATATTCTTTGCTTACAAATATATACAGTTGCGGTCAAAATCTTAGTACTGATTTTGCTAATTAAATATAAGTCATCATAAATTTGTATTTCATACCTTTTTTTCGCTTTCACTATAAATACCTTTAATTTAAGGCGCCGACATGACGATATGCATTGGTTTGTTAAGCTAGAATTATTGTTATTGCAATCGGCATAGTTTTGAGGAAAATTTTGTTTTTGATTAGTCAAATTCTTAGTAGCGCAATCAAGAATAGTTCAAAAAAATTAAATTCTTTTTGTTTTTGGGACTAAAAAATTAAAGAATCGATAAGAACTATTTCTGTTATCAGTATTCTGTTTTATAATGTTGTATATTTTGATCACGCTGCATGTAGTGATGTCAAGAAAAAAGAATTGTATACCGGAGATACGGGCTCTTATTAAAAATCTGATTTGCGAAGGAAGGAAGGAAGAAGTGCAAAACATCATTTGTTGATGCCCCACGATGGTCCGAAACTCTATAAAATGAAAACCGGGTGTCGAAAAACGGGGGCCCACCCAATTGGTTAAGTCTGCTGTAAAATATTCAAAGCAATATCCGTTTGCGGTTGCCACCGAAATAAAAAAAAATCTCTAAATGTGAAAGCCAGCGTTGAAACTCTCCGCTCGGAGCCCCAGAAAAGTGCCTTTGCTTACTAAACAACATGTGGCCAAACGATTAAGTTTCGCCAAAGATCATTTGACTTGGCCTTTGTCCAAATGGCGTAACATTTTGTGGTCTGACGAGACAAAAAATGTTGTTGTTGTAACCGCAAAACTATTCCCCAAAGTACTATTTGGGGAATGTTGCGGCAGTGACAGTCCTTGGCCGGATAAAAATCCGGGTCGTTCCGGCATAAACACCCGACTGTCGCGGGAACTATTGGATATTAGTCGCCTCTTACGACATGCATGCCTTACCGCGGGTAACTTCTTGAGCCCCTAACCCGCAGAGGGTGCGAGTCAAAAATTGTTCGCTATGGTGGAAAAGGCTTAAGGCAGTTTGTAAGACGTCCACCCAACAGCGGACTTAATCCAAAATATACCACTAAAACGGTAAAACATGGTGGATCCGCATTATGGTCTGAAAGAATTCGGTGTCTGACTGTTATCCTACAAATAATTTGCAGTTATGGGAGTCCGTAAAGACTGCTTGGAACTCAACTCCAGTTGAAAGGTGCCAAAATCTGGTGAACTCAATGCGACGTCGCTGTGCCGCCATAATTAATTATAATGGTTAAACAACTAAATACTAAATTAATGTATAATAAGTAGTTAATTGATTGCCAATGTAAAAAAAAACCTTTAATTCAACCTAAATAAAAAATACTTTAACATTATGACCGCAGCTGTACTAACTCCATGCCAGACCAATACTTAAAAATTAAAGAAAATTAATTTGAAAAATTTATCAAAATAAAAAAAATTCTCTAATTGAGTTCGCCTTATTGTGTATTTTCGAAATGAAGTAAAAATCTCCTTATAATAAAGTCTATCAGCCGTATGGATGCGGTAGGTTTTTCCATTTGTTGGAAAACATCAAGACGCACACCCAATGGGAGGAGAAGCACGGTCGAAATCGCTTCAGTGTGTTCTACCATTTGTTGCAGCAGCTATTGAATAGCTCATATAAGCCTTCCCCATAATTGTGCATATTAAATAATAATTTAAATTAATATATTCAAGAACTTCGCTCGTTCATACTAAGCTTTATCACATTTCATTTCAAAGATTACTTTTCAACGCACCTGAGCATATGTTTGTATTTTTCATGTCTTGTTATGCAAAAGTACGTATAGGTATGTACATAAGGATGTAGCAACAATAAACAAACACTGAATTTGACCCAGAAAAATTCACGTTGCAATGAAAATTGCCAAAAAACTTTGCCACAAAAAAAATAACATGAAGTAAAACATCATGTAGTGCGAAAGAAAAGAAAGAAAGAGTGAAAGAGCGAGAAGGAGGGTGAGCAACATATCATCAAGAAGTGACTGTAGTCAGCTGCGAAAGGGTGGCGCATCATTCTAAATGTTCTTTTCCATTTATTTTTCGACCTTGCTGTGGTCGAGCCTATTGCCAAAGTGCGAGTAGCCTGGCACACGCACACTATCATTGGAAGTAGCCATACGACTGCCTGCTACATCGTCGTCGTCGCATCGCACAAAACTTGTAAAATAAAACAATTCGTTTGGTATTTTTATTTTCGAAAGTATTTGTTGTTTTTTTTTCGCTGTACTACGCGAATGTTGTCTCGATTTAAACCGAATAATTGCTGTGTGTTGCTGCTGCAGTATAAAATATTATTCTAACCGCCGGCTATGCATAAACAAGCAAAAAGTCGAAATGATAGCGGAGAGGACATCAAGAGCAAATTCTAAAAATAATGTAAAGAAAGAAAAGTGAACCAATAGTGTATCACTGCGAAAAGCATTAAAAAGCACACTCGGCATGACATTCATTTTCTTCTATTGAATAGGTTTATTTGTTGTTGTTGCGTTAATTGTATTATTATTATTATTATTTTTATTTGTCTAAATGGCGTTTTGCCACGTCGGAACAACAACTGATCTGCAGCAATAACAGCAGTACTCACTTCGTTAATATTTATTCCCTATTTCCCACGCAAGGTTTTTGCCATAAACCAAAACATTGCGACGTCTGAGCTGCTCATTGCGGGATAACAGCAATATGTGACACAGTATTGAATATCATTTGATTGCGAACAGTAAAAATGCCGTGCACGATCCTGTACCCTTCTTCTTCTTCACTGTCAGAAATCTACGGTTTTTAATTGCGAAATCAACGGTGACCATTTACTATAGCTGAACTTGAATGAATGAGTAGTGGCTAGATCTTAACGCCGAAGTCGATGATGTTAAAACTTTAAATTAGAAGTTAATGGATGTGACCTTCGGCAAGCTGCACTCCTTCACATACGGCGAACCAATCGAACGTGGAGGACTACGCAGATGAAGAAGCTATTGTTCGGTTTGAGGTCGGTCAACTCAGCTTCTACTTATCCAGACATGACCTCCACATACTTAACGTATGAC